TTTATTTTGTATTTAACATATTTTAATATTATTATAATATTTAGCTGTATTTTGATTTTTTGAATCCAATTTTTCTTTTTATTCAGTAAATGTTTTGGTTTGAAGAATATAATCTTTTTAAATTAAGTCATTTTTTGTGCGCGTAAAAGACTCTAATACGTATACACATGTGTAGTACGAGCCATTTTTTTTTTTTTTTTTAATTTTTCCGTTTTTGTTACAATTAAAATATAATACTAGATACTCTTATTCTTTCAAAAGCAAACCAGTTATAAGTAAAAAGTCAAAGACAAAATAATAAGAGTTAGTTATACAAAAATAAATAAAAACGCGGGAAACTTGCAGAAGACCATTAAGTCTTATCATCAAGAACCGTTGTAATAATTATGTTTTTACAATATTAAATTCCTATAATAGTGGTAAAAGCAAAACTTAATTAACTAAGGTAAATAGTGTTAAAACTAAAAACTTTTCAATGTAAAAAGACAAAAACAAAAAAACAAACAAACAAAAAAAAACAAAGCAGTTTAAAAGAAATCATTAATAAGATTTGTATACTTTGAAATAATCTTTTTTTTATTAGTTTTTGTAAGCAATTTATATTGTTTACACCTGGTAAATTACTATACTTTGCTAAGATTTTATTCCAGATATGCGGAGCACGATACGTAATTTTAAATTGTTCTTGTTTAGTTTTGCACAATGGTTTAATTAAGCCTGTTGTGCGTAAAGTATATTTAATGTTAGGTTTTATTTCATAAAGATCATTAAAAATTGAGGGGCATTGTTGAAATTTACTTTTGTACATGAGACATAAAATTTTATAAACGTTTATCTCGTATAACGTAAAAATATTCATAATTTCGAACAGTGGTTTTGCATGTTCGTTTTTATTTTTAAAATTTATTATTCTTAAGGCATGTTTTTGTTTTCGATAGAGTTTTAAAGCTTGCTTTTAGATGTACTTCACCACGCAATATTCGCGTAATTCATGCAACTTTGTATAAAACTGAAATACATTTGTTTTAGATGATGCTTATTAAGTAAATCCCGTGACTGATATAGAACGCTAATACTTTTTGATATATTTTGCTGCCAATATAGGCAATATGTTTATTCCAGGTAATATTTTCGTCAATGAGAACACCAAGAAATTTTGTGACTCTTTTGCGACTAACTTCTGTGTTTTCAATAACTAGTTTTGGAAAAGAAATAGGAATTTTTTTTTTTATTTTTTTTTTAAAGGATGGAATAATGAGAACTTTGTTTTATTTGAATTAATAGAAAGTTTATTTGCATTGAACCATAGTAAAATTATCTAACTCGTTGTTCATTTGTACGAAGAGTTGAGATATATCTTTTCCTGAAATAAAAAAGTTACTGTCGTCAGCAAACATTATTGTTGATATATTTAACGCTCTCCAGAGATCATTCACGTATATTAGGAAAAGTAGAGGCCCAAGAATAGATCCTTGGGGCACTCCACAAAAAATTAAAGATGAATTTGTAAGTTTTTTATTTCCGTAATATATGGACTGTGTACGTTTACTCAGGTAATCTGCTATCCACCGGCAGGATACGCCTCTTATGTCATACATCATAAGCTTTTTTATCATTATTTTATGATCCACTGTGTCAACGGCCTTGGAGAGGTCAATAAACACGCCTAAAGTAAATTCTCCGTTTGCAAAAGAGTTTTTTTATTTCATTAATTAAGTGAAGTATTGCATGTTCAGTTGAAGTGCTTTTCTAGAATTCAAACTGTTTTGAATAGAAGAAGTCATTATCTTTAAAAAATGCATATAACCTATTGAACATAATTCGCTCAAAAATCTTAGACAAAATAGAAAGTATAGATATTGGTCTATAGTTTCCAATATCCGTTTTATCGCCTGATTTATATATAGGTTTAACTTTTGCTGATTTAAGTATATCAGGAAAGACACCCTCATTCAGAGAACGTTTACAAGTTTTAAATAAAAGCACTTTTAACTCATTATAACAGTCAATAACAATGTTGCTGTTAATACCATCAATTCCAGAAGATTCATTACGTTTCAAACTTTTAAAAGCTGTTTCGTATTCTTTAAAGGTTAAACTCTCATTTTTAAGTTGATTTTTATTGTAATGAAGTTATTCCTCAAATGAATTATTTACATTTGGAATTTTTGCCGCAAGTTTAGGTCCTATATTCACAAAAAAATTGTTAAATTCATTTGCTATATTGTTTTCATTGGCAATAGTTTTATTTTTAATTTGTAAGATTTTCGGAAAAGAAAGATTTATTGATTTTCGGTTTTCCAATTACTTCATTTAGTACTTGCTAAGTTTTCCTAGAATTTAATTGACACTTTTCAAGTTGCTTTTTATAATAGTTTGATTTTGCAGTTCGTTTGATTTTCTCAAATAAAGTCCTGTAGTTTTTATATTCTGCCTTGGTTTTTATGCACTTATTTTTTAGATATCTATCGTACAGTCGATGTTTTTGCTTCGAAGCTTTTTTTAAACCTTTACTAAACCATGGCGAATTTAAGTTTTTAATTTTAATTGTTACTTCTTTCTTTGGAAAGTGTTTTTCATACAAGTTTAAAAAATTGTGATTATTGTGAAGTTATTAAACAAAATTGTGAAGTTATTAAACATTTAGCCTTAAACACAACTAAAATTTATTTAAAAAAATATGTGGTATTTTGGATGAGAGAACCCGATTTTTTTTATTTAAATCAAATTTTGCCAGCGTAAATGACACTTACACTCGTAAGCACGCGTTGTACGCGTCATAGGTACGCGTAAAAATTCTTTTTAATAGCAAATTTAAATTTTTAGATTATAAATACGATTGTATTGATGTACCACATGTATATATATGATAGTTGTATAACTTTTGCCGTTTTTTCACCTTTCTCACTCTCTGTGAGCCGGCTGCGTTTAATATCTGCCCAAGATGAGTGTTTTTATCAAGACCTTTCGCCCTTACTCAACCAAGAGCCCCAAGTCACGGGGCGTTTTAAATCGGAGTTAGCCTCTCTTATCCATTACCTTAAAAAGCGTATCCTACTAGGCAGCAGGACATGAAGCAGGTTGTACTGGGTTACATGTTAGCAGTAACAGGATAACCTGACCTGAACTTTTTCAAATTTTCCATTAACAAAAACATTAATATAATAAAAAGTTATTGATTATAAATAAGAACAGTTATGGGAAGATTGCATAAGTTGAGCTTTGTATTCGTAGCCGAAATATTATAATACTTATATTTATTTTTGCAGATTATCATAATTTAGTCTTTCCTCATAAAGAATATAAATGAAAAGTTCATTAAAAAAAAAATTTTTATACTTAAAATTGCATTATTTATAACGCACCCAATCATCTTTTTTTAGCAAACCAGTTTACTAAGATGAGCTTTTTTAATGAAACTCAAATAAAAAAATTCAAAATTACATAAGAACAATCACACAAAAAAATTCATTAAAATTGCATCTTTAAGGATTATACTAAAGTTAAAAGTAATTATATCAACTGTAAAAAAAAAACAATAATACATCTTTCCTATCTCTAAAAATGTTTGCAATACTATTTTTTGGAAAAACTTTTGCTCTTGAAATATCAAAACAAAGCTCCGGGGGGAAACTTTAAAAACTGGGGGAACTTTAAAAAATGCGCTTTTCTAATTTTTTACTAAAATTAAAAATGAGAGAAAAAAAAATGTTTCAAAGTAGGTTATATAAAATGCAAAATAGTTTAACAGAGCCAATCAAAGTTATTTTAAATAAAAGTTGAGGAATTAATTTAAACAGCATGAAGGTTAACTTACCGTCATGCAATGGTATATATATTCAAATTTCAAAGTTATTTATTAAAAGAAAATTTTAAAAACTCATAAGAGAAAACAAAAACCTACGAAAACAAAAACGCACGAAAAAGGAAAAGAGGAAGAAGTTGAATTTTCGGAAAACACCTTAAAGTAGCAAAATTCTAAGACATTTTATGAATAAATTTATTACAAAAATATATCTAAAACAAATATATTTTATAGCAAGAAGTTAATATGTGTATTTAAAACAAAAATAGTCTGAAGCCTTTTTATTTTAAAAAAGTTATGTAGATTTTAATGAAAACCATTTTTGAAAAAAAAAAAAAAAAAAAAAATTAACGAAATTTGCCTTTTTATCTAGTGATTAAATGGATACATTTTTGAGTAGAGAAAAGAATCTATTATTTAAAAATAAAATAGAATAAATGCTTTTGAAAAATTGACTGTTTCGATACTTTTTGCCAAGGAAAAAAACGACTTGAAGTAAAAATGTTAAAGTTTTAGATTTTAATCTTTAAAATTATAGAAACTATAAAAATGAAATTAAAATGAATGCATTTTTAAATGTTTTATAAAGCAAATGGTTACTATTATGTCTATTTACTCATTCGTTAAAGTTACTGACAAAAATCATTCAAGCATGTCTGTTTTAATTTTATTTTAAATTAGTGCTATTAAGGGGGTTATTTATTAGATCTTTTGCTCTTTAAATTCTTTTTAAAATTGTTTAAAATGCCTAAAATAAAATTTATTAAATACAAATATGCAACGTAGTAAAGTAAAAATAAACCTTAAATTTAGAAAATAAATTATAAAATAAAAAGATTATTATTAATAAAAAAATACAAACCCCCTTATAATACTTAAAAATTTTAATTAGATATTTCAAATGCACACTAATTTAATTAAAGTTAATTGAAATGACAACAAAAATAAATATTTAATAAAAATTAAAAAAAAAAGTTCATATTAGAATTATATTAACTGAATTTATTCAGTAAAATTAAAAAAATTAAGTATTAAAGTCCTTGTACAACATTGTTTACAATTTTTAGGTTCTAAAAGCGTTTACAGCGATGACTTCAGTATGCAGTTAGCATTTTTCAAATGAATGAACTATTCAATTCTGCCGCGTTTGTTACTTAGAAAATTTTGCTGATAAAATAATACAAAATGCAAAAATTAGCTAACTAAAAAATCAACGTTTATGAAGCGAAAATCAAAAAAAAAGAGGAATAGCATTTATTACTTATTTATTAATCGTTCAAATGTGAGTGTTTATTTATGAACCCACAGAACGAGATTAAAGTTTTGCAATGAATTTTTATCTATGAAGTTTTGGCATATACTAACTGCAATAATAGTATCACTATGGAACTTTATTCAAGGTAGGTCTTTAATGAAAGCATCTCAAAACTTTTTGGTAATGTAACACTTGAACGAATTACACTTTCATTTAAAGCGTTTGTTTGCTTGTTAACTTAAGTTATTTGCTAATCATATTTACGCATGAATGTTTTTAAAAATAAAAATTTAAGTCTTTTTAAAATAATAATTACTGCGAGAGTCAGTTCCATTCTAAATAACGGTTAGAAAACATGCTCTCCTTAAAATTTACCACATTATTACATCCTTTATGTAATCTAAAAAAGATTTTCAAAAAACGTTGTTCAACGAGTTGCACTAAATTGGTAAGCTCTCTTATCAAACCTCTTTTCCAACGGTCTCTTTAAATCTGCAAACATGAAAAAAAATGTTTCATTTAGTTCAAGATTACCTGCCCAAGCCCAACCCCTCAGTCTATGTATGCACACTCACTGTGCCTATGGCTAAATAAATCAATCGATGTATGTACACTGCGAAGCGCCTATCCCTATATTTCCCAATTTGCCTATTCTCTAAAATCCCAGTTTTCGGACATGGGTGCTCAACGTCGAAATAGAGGTTTTACAAGAGAGACTACCCGCCAGAAAAGTTAATATTTTTTTAAAACAGACGTCATAAACAAGCAGCGTTTTATATACAGACCGTCATTATAACGGTCCAATATTTTTGTAATGACGTTCTAATTCCTTAGAATGACATCTAAAAAAGGTTCATAATTAATATTAAAATAAAATAGCGACAGGTTCTAAGGATGTTATTTAATCAAAAAAATTTTTAATGGTTAAAAAGACCATTGAAAAGAAATATTTTTTTTAGAAGTTATAAGATATAGAAAACATTTTTAACAAATTAAAGATTGTGCCCCCCACTTCAAAATCCGTGTAATTGGCCTGCCCCAAATAATATATCGGATACTCACTTGTTATTATATTTTTTATGACTAACTTCTTTAGTTTTAAAGTATTTTATTCATTGAAATCTAAGAAAAACTACACTTGTTCAATTACACTTCAATTACACTTGTTTGCGGCCATGATTACACACGCACTCTTCATGCTTGACTCTAAGCATAGCCCATTATCGGTGCCCTGACTGGCTAAACATAGGCAAATAAGTATGGGTTATGCCAAGTGTTGCTCACAGTTTAATGCATGGTCCATGCATGGCAGCTGCTTTTCAGCCAGGGTTTAACTGTTGCTTTAGGATTGCTCATTTTAATGTTACATTAGTTCATTTTGTTTGTTTTTTTACATAAAAAATGGTTAAAGCTTGACCACCATTTTTTTCGATGATGAAAACGTTTAATTTTTCTTGATCTTCAAATCTTTTTCTCCTGTCAGAATGGATTTGCTAAATTTAAAATAAGACATTTGAAAAGTTCATCACTTTACTTTTAATAATGAAAGCATATTAAAGTAATTAAAAAACTAGTTCCACTTACAATAATATACGATTTATTTTACATTGTTGCCACTACTTAACATAAGCATGATGCTTTTTATCCCAATAAAAATAATTCAGTAAACTAACAAATTATGATGCTGAAGATTATTATAGTGAAAACGATGATGCGATATATATATATATATATATATATATATATATATATATATATATATATATATATATATATATATATATATATATATATATATATATATATATATATATATATATATATGTATATATGTATATATATTTTTATATATACAAATCTGGTCTGAGTCTGTTGATAGCTGACCAACCAACAGGTCTAGTTTCAAAAATTATTTTTTTATATAAATAAAAGTTTTTGTTCAAATCATCTATAAGTTAACCTTTTAACTTGTTTTTAAACTGCGCTATTGTCACGAAATTATCTGCGCATTCAATTTGCATTTTAACTACTTTTAAAAAAGATAATATTTCCGCCAAATAGCATTTAACCAAGAGGTTCAAGCAACCAATAACGATGTGTATACGGCCAAAGCCGGCCTCGACCCATGGAAATAAAAACAATTTGATTTTTGCAATAATTCTTGAACAACAATATTTCTACGACTGTTCCAAGAAAATTGTTGCGAAAATGTTTATGCGGACTGTGACGAGACCTAACCTGGTTGACAAGTATTAAGTTCAATTATGTTTTTTCAGTTAAACAAAAACAAAAAATAGTTTTAAAAAACTAGTTTTTTACTCTTTTTCATTTTGTTTTTTTTATCAAAGTAAACTTTTGTCGTTTGTTCGTAAGCAGCCTTTTAAATTACATTTATTATAACTTTTATTAAGATAAAGAAGATAACTCTTAAAATTTTCTCATGAATTTACAAGTATTAGGCGCTTAATTTTGTTCACCAAATAATTTAGTGAACAGAATTTGGCAACTAATTTGGCAAATTAGTAATTTGATGTAATTTAGTTACAGAGTTAACTTGAACAGTCTGCTTTGTTATTACTTATAACTCAAAATATGTTTTCTTCGTTTATCCTGCAGTTTCCATTTTTAAAAGTTTTTAAACTTTTCAAATACTTAAGACCTAATGTTGATACCTAAACTTTAGGTATCAACATTAGGTCTTAAGTATTTGAAAAGTTTAAAAACTCTTAAAAATGGAAAATTCCTTTAGGCTAAAGGAATTAAAGATTTGAGAGATTACTTTAAGTAGAATGTCAAATATCAGAATCTGCCGTTGCGTTCCTTTTTCTTATATTTATAAGAAAATTTAAAGAAACCAAGCATTAACTTATTTTTTTATTTATAATAATCATTTATTAAAAAGTTATATCAGGTAGTAGTAACAGTATTGAAATCAGCCAAAATAGATTTATTCAAAATGGGACTTTCCGGATTAAAATTGAAATTGTGAATTAAACATAAGTTGTGAATAAAGGAATATTATTGAAAATCCCAAAAGCAGAATGAGATTGTTACTAGCAATGGCTGACTAATAATTAAAAGTTGAATAATGTTGAAAATAAGGAAAATGATTATGATTCAGATTTTTTGAATTGATAGGCTGTCTGTTCAAACCAAACCCTCAGTTGATACAGCAGCACTCCTTGCATGTTCTACCTATTTGTCTGTCAATGTGCTACATTGACAGATAATTAACATACTCCTGGTATGTTAATTAAAATTAAAATATGTTGATTAGACATCATTTTTTGCAGCAGTTAATTTTTTATACTTTTTTTTCTGCTTTTCTTGTTTTCAATTATGATCTGTATTTGTGAATTTCAAAATAATTATTTTTTTTGACATTAATCAAAAAATTATAATTTCGATCTTAATCATTAAAATTGTTTTCTGTCAGTTTATTTTTTGACCCTAACCATTTTTTTGAGCAGTTAATTTTTGATACTGTTCTGCTTTTTTGTTATATCATAAAAATTTAAAAATGGTGGAAAATAAAAGTTTTACTGACAATAAAAAAGAGCACACTTTCTTTCTCTAACAAGCTGGTTTTTATTACTAATATTACTACTTAATACTATTAATACTGCTATTCAAGAATCTAACTAGCTGATTTAAGTTGATACAAATATACATGTTTATTATTAAAAATTGAATAGCTGATGGAAAAAAAAAAGATAATATTAAATGAGTTACACATTGTTAAACTTAATATTAACATTAATTATTATTATTATTAATAATAACTTAATTTATTTGATTAAGTTAATTGTTATATAGTTTTTTTATATTTAATAGTTAATAATACACTTCACTGAAATAAAAATATTACAATTGTCACTCTTTTTGCAAAATTAAAAGAACAAAAAAAAAAACAATAAAAAAAACTAGATTTAATGATATATTTAAATATACTTATAAAGGTATATTAGAAAAAACCTATTTATAGGATTGTTAAATCCTGAATTAAGACAGTTATTTTGATTTGTATAAGGTAAAAAAGCATTTATCCTTTTTTAAGTTTTAAGTAATGCAAGTTTTCAGTTACAAACTAAAAATATTTAGGTATTTTTTAGAATACCCAATTTTTAAATTTTAAATTGTAAAAAATAATATATACAGTTCAATAGTTAAAACAATACATGCAATTTTATTATGATCAAAATTCTCTAATAAAAAGAAATCTCCTTTAAATGCATAATCATACATTTACTTGAAATCCCTACTTTTTTCATTTAGATTTATGTATTAGCATTATTTAAATTTATTTTAAGGGTAACTCTTATTAAATTTTACTCTTGGTAATACCTTAATAGTTATGTTTTGGTATTTTTTATATGATTTTTGAGTAATTTTTAAAATTTTATTTAATTGATGTGTAATGTTAATGCTTCTACAATGAATTGGTGATTGATTTCATATAAGTATATTAGGTGAAAATATTGTCATATTTCATATACACTTTTTTTCTTATTTTATATGATATTTGATCTGTAGGAGATCAAGTTGAAGCATATTACTCTTGTCCAAACAATAAATTGATTAAAAAGAACTCACACAACGCTTTTTACACACTACGACAAAAATCCATATACACAGAAGACAAATGCATTACCACATGTTGCATTGATCTCCAATGCCAAGAGATATTTTTTGAAAATTGGAGATGTTTTCATGGTTACTATGAGTACAATGAAAATAATATTTTGGAAGCTAAAGCGGTGGAAAAGAAATCAGGTATTGGTGAGACACTGACAGTTGTCTTTAACATGTGCTTAAGAAAATATTTAAGAGTTTCTTAAGATATTTGAATTTGATTGACACAATTTAGAAAACCATTGTGATACTTATACAAGTTTGTATTAAAACATAAATTGTGTGATAACATATAAAGTTTTGTAATTATATACATGATCATGTAAAAGAAACAATTATAAATGAAATTCAATTTTAATCACACAGTTTATTTTTACATTCCTTAAGAAGCTCTCAGTTAAACATTTTTTATTTTTTGAACCATCAGTTAAACATTTTCAAAATATCAGCAGTTATGCAGAAGCATTGCAAATTGATAAAAATCTTTCAAAACTTTTTTGTAATGGCACAACTATGTTAGAGCTAATATATAGCACATATTAAGGACAACTGTGTGGAAACCTATTTAGCTACTAGGAAATAATGATTGATGTAATTTTAAAATACATTTTTACAAAAAATACTTTAAGCAAGTTGAATAAATTGAATAAATACATTAGGAAATTTAAATTTATTTTTTCAGCAACAAAAGAGTTTGGAAAATCAAATTTAACTATTGGATTAAACAAAAGTTGTTTTATAAGCCCAACAATTTATTTTGCTCGCTTACATCATGGCACCAAATCTGGTAGCTTTACAAAACATGCCAAAATACACTCAATGGGCAGTTGCATTGAAAAATGTTGCAAATTTGATGATTGCAATGTAGCTATATTATATAAAAGGGAGTGTTTTAGTGTGAAATGCCACTCAGAAGATGCATGTCAATGGGAAAGTGATGCTCATGACAGCAGGCTAGCTTATGTAAAAAGAAATTTGAGCTCGAACAATTCTGGTAGGTATTTTATTCTTTAAACTTGTATTATCTATAAATAAATATTTGTATAAATTATAAATTAAAAGTAAGTTATAAAAGTTTATTTTCAATATAAAAAGTTTATATTGAAATAAATTAACATGACAAAATAAATAACAAATACTTATATAAAATATGTAAAGAATAAGCAAATTAAATGTTTGAATTAAATTTATAAAATAATTAATAATGTAAATATGATAAAACAGTTTAGGAATTTTATAAAAATAAAAAAACTAAACTTTAAATGTTTTAAATATTATAAAATATAAAATTTATCATATATAATGATTATAAAAAATTATTTGGTTAAAAGAATTTAAAATGAAAATATTTTGTGTATTGACTTTTTTTATGTTTTGGCTTAAAAATAAATAATCATGATTTTAATTACAACTAAAAAAAAACACTCAAAAAACAACAAAAGCTGATTGTTGTGTTTTTAGAGAAAGGATGGGACTATATGTTTAGAGGGTTATGTTGTATTTCTATGCTCTATTTTTAATATCTATTGCTCCATACTTGTGTGGTTTGAACTGGATTTAATTATGTTATATTATTATCTAAATGTGATATTAAGGAAAATTCAAAACAATTTTTTACAAATTTCAGATTATTAACAACCAAATACTGTTTTGTCAATCTGGACTGAATTATTTTATTGTGATCATTCAAAGTTTAAGAGCTTCTCTTACCCTCACCCACAAATTGGGAGTTTTATAACAGTTTTCTTTCTTCTCTGTAATTTGCCATGAAAATGGCTAAGGAGCTTCACCTGTCTCATGATCAAAAGTAATAATGATGGACTAAATCTCTAGAACACACTTGTTGTTCTTTGCATAGTATGAAATTAGTATGAAATTAGTAGTAATATACAGTTTAAATAACAATAGAAATATAGTATGAGATTAGTAGTAATATACAGTTTAAATAACAATAGAGATATAGTATGAAATTAGTAGTAATATACAGTTTAAATAACATTAGTATTGGATTTTCTAAAAAGTAATGAAATTTTTTTGAATGTTCTGTAAGCTTTGAGAAGTTTACATTATTTGAATATATATATAGGACATAAAAGAGTCTATCAAGCCAATTAAAATTGATATATTTCTGTATGTTACAAAAATGAACATTTGTTCTGGCAGACCAATGGAATTAGATTCGGAGCCTTTAAAGTAGCTAATTAAAAACAATTTAAGATTAGCTACACATTGCTCAATGACGACAAACTTGGATGCATTCATGGTTCTATAAAGTATCATTTGTGTAATTTGGGAAAGACCTCCAAGCTTGGTGTTTCGATCTGAAAAAACTGAATTCCAATCAGCTAGATCAACAAACAGACACCTGCATGAATTTCTTTTCTTTACACCCCCATTTAACTTAGTTAACCATGTCATCACTATAAATAAGAAGAAGCATCAAAAAGTTATTGGCTCATTTTCTCTGTTTACCTGACTTTGCACATAATTTTATTTTTTCTAATCAATAAGCAGTAGTTTGTGAAATGAATAATTTAACGGCTAGGAGACACTTTGACAGCACTTAAATCACTTCTCTGCTTAAAAATTTCTATACTCATGGCGTTTATTCTTTCTATAAGTGTTGGTAAGAGATCATAGATATTTATGATGCATATAGAGTTGAAGAGTTTTAGTATTACAAATTAATTTTTTTTTGAAAAGTTACTTATTACTTTTGAGCTAGCCAAATAGTAGCTTCCAAACTGGCTAAAAATTTTTTTTTTTGTTACTCTAAAAATTTTTTTTTTGTTAGTTGAAAAATAATTTTTTAGCCTCAAACTGGCTTGATTATTTATAACTAATTAAAATAGTCGATTTCAATCAACTTTCCTTTTTTAAATTATTTAAGTTATTTTTTTTTACTTCACCACTACATCAAAAATATTGTTGTAAATTATTCATTAAAAAATATTATTAAAAATAAAGAATATAGAATAATTACAATTATATAGAATAACAGTGTGCATTTACATACATAGCACTATTATTTTTTTTCATATTAACATAAGTTGCTTCTATTTATAACCTTCCAATTTGTTTGCTACAGGTATTTCTGATACAAAACATACAAACATTCTTTCACATCCTCATTATAAACACATTTTACGCATAAAGAATGAAGATAGGCATGTTAAAAGACCTGTGAAAGCATATGGCATGAGTAAAGAATCACCAGTTTCAAAATTTGATATTGAAGAAGGTATATATTTTTATATTATGTAATATCTTAATTGAAATTTTTAAAAATATATAAAGATACCAAAAAGTATATTTTGCATGCACACTTATTTATTATACGTTATGAATAGGATCTTCAACCTGTATTTAACAATTCTCCATTCTATATCATGGAGTTGTTCTCCACAAAATACAAAATGAAATGCACTACATGTTGAGTTAAGACTAAAGCTTAAAAGATAGTGATTAATTTATTTCTAGACTTTTCTTTTTCTTTTTGAACAACCAAAAGTTCTTTCATTTTTTAACTAGTGGAGAATGAGCACTAAAATGATAATAAAAAGTAATTATACAACTTTTTAATAAAAAAAACTATTTCAATCATAAAAATATGCAAAGTTTTTAAAGTTAAAATTAAAATTTATAAATTTATAAAATTAAGTTGAAATAAAATTAATGAGATGTAAAAAGTATTTATATTATTTGAAATTTTGTAATTTTTTTGTTCAGATGATGTTTTGGAACCTCAACTAAAAGAAGAGAACTTCTTTCCCAGTCCTCTTCTTAAAGAATTTCAGAAAAACATTAGCTTTACAAATACTACTCATGTCCATGAAAATGATGGAGTTGATGAACTTCAGTTAAAGCAATTTCACAATTTATTAACACAGAAAACTGCTGGTTTGGCACTTTTAAAAGAGTTTCATAAATTTTCAAAGCTTCATAAAAAGGATTCAAAGAATGACAATCTTGATGATAACAATCCAGAGCAATACAAATTTGAGAACTTTTTAAAAGATTTGCGTTCTTCTAATTTTAATGCCACAGTTGAAAAATGGAAAAGTGAACACCTCTTTCAAAATAAAACAAAACTCAAAAATCTGTTAACAAATTTAAGAACTTCAGAAGAGATAAGCATATTGTACTTGCTTAGTCGGCTTCATGCTTACGAAAGAGCACAATCTTTATATAATCTTAAAAGTAAAGAGAAAGTTACTCATTACAATCAGAATGCAGAATATCAACGTTTATTTTACAATTCAAAGAAACCAGTTGAAATGGAATATCATGTAAATAAGAAATTTCATACTAATGAAGATTTACATGCTGTTAATGGAATATCCAAAAGTCACATTGGCAAAAAGCTAAATTTTAATAAAAATAATAATTTTGATGTAGAAAATAATCCATCTGATTACATTGAATTACTTAATGTTTTAAAAGAACTTGAAAACACAAGTTTAAAACAAAAAAGAAAAGAAAAAAAAATAACCAATCAAAACCAAGTTGACTTGTATAAATCACAACAAAAAAGTATTAATAACAGTAAAATTTTAGCAGAGTTACAGAAAATTATTTTAAGCCTCTCTTCCGATATTGAGATATCTGACAGAAACAAAAAAATAACCAATAGCCTTCTAAATCTCTCATTAAAAAGTTCATCAAAACAAGATCAAGCCATGCCTATTGTATTTTTTAATTTGGAAAACGACCAATCAAATAGAGACACAACTTTAAAACTTCAAAGCATAAATTCTAAACAAAAAAACAAGAAACACAGAGTATCCCATCCAAATCAAGAAAAAAAAGCTCAGGACTATGGTTATTATGCTAAAAGGTATGTGAAGTTAAACACACCAGTCATTTATATAAATAACAGATTGCAGGAAAAGGTTAATTATACTGAAAACACAGTTATGTCGAGCAATTCAATTAAAAATAACCAATTAAGCAGAGGATTCCATCGCTCTGACAAATTAGATGTATCAAAAACACCAGTTATATTTATCAATAGAATAATGCAAAACCAAAATAAAAATATTCTAAATAACAAAGCTAATTTCCCCACAGCAACTACACTAGCAAATACAAATTTGATAGAAAAGCAAAAAAGTCAAAATAGTTTGGTACACTATGATCCAAAACCTTCAGCTGTTATTTTTTTAAATGAACCTGAAGAAAAGTTAAAAAGTGTTTATGAATCTAAATTAAACTCTGAAGATGGTTTTCAAGCTGGTATACATAATCAATACATAAATGATATTGAGAACAATGGTTTTAAAAAAGTGTCAAAAATAAAAGGTTTTCTGCAAGCATCAACTGATAACTATGGTAATATTAATCCACAAGCAACAAAATATAAAATTCAAGCATTGAATAGCGCGGTTATGCCAACTAATGAAACGTTTCAAGATATAAATTCAAATAACGATAACTTGCAAAATGGCGCTAAAGGATACTCAGATTTACAACCCGAAATCAATAGTGGACTAAATGGAGATTTTTTTCCTGAGAAAGAAGTCATTAGTTATTTAAAACAAAAAGAATACTTTCAACATTTGGCGCCAAATGGGGAAAATATGTTAGAAAAAAGTTTAGAAAGTAAAAAAATTGATAGCATTTTGCAAGACAAAACATCACTTAATAGGTATGATGGAGATGCAAGAATAGAAACTGGATCATCTCTAAATAGAAATGATGGAGATATAAAAGAAAAAACACAATCATCTTTAGATAAATATGATGAAAATAAAAAAGAAGAAAGACTATTACCATATGAAGACTCAGAGGTTAAAAAATTATCATTATTAAATCTTGAACTAAAATCTAAGGCAGGGTTTAATGATGAAAGCAAGAGTGCAGATGACCAAAAAACAAAAGAAATGAGAATTCTATTTTATAATAAAAATAATGGAATACTTGACACACATCTTCAAAAGAATGAAGAAGAAATGGTGAGTAAACAAGCACAAAACAATAAAGATGTAGACAACACAGATTCAAATGAAATAACTTTTTACACAGGGGCATATAAAGAAAAAAATAAAAATGCACTTAATGAAATTCGTATACATTCAGATGCAAATTATAGTTTAGAGTTCATTGCTACAAACAATGTTGATCAAAGTAAACAATTAGAAAACAATATTGATATAGGCAAGCGTTTAGAAACAAATAATATTGAATTGAATACAGAATCAAATAACCAGTTGTTACCATATAACAAAACAAAACTTGAAAAGCAAAATAGTCAGAACATTTTTTATCAATCACCAAAAAAGTCATCAAATTATGACAAAAAAGATGAAAATGTAACTTTTGATAATGATTCACAGTATATCAGATTTGTCCTTGAAAGTATTAAAGCTAAGTTTCCTAAAGATGGTGATATGCAATCAAAACTAACCCAAACACTTTTATCACCTTTTGAGTCAAGAAATAAAAGCGTTGAAGTTGTTGATAAAGAAATAAAAGACATTGACAAAGAAATAAATGAAGTTGATAAGGAAATAAAATATTTAAATTCAAATAATGAAAGTTTGAAGTTGATAAATGAAAATTATGCTGAAGATTATGGGTATAGAATAAAAGAAGGGAAGAATGAAACTCCTGTAATATTTATTAAACAGGAAGATAAAGAATTACCTAATGAAAAAGAAACTTCTGCAGGTATACCTCAATCCTATATATATATATATATGTATATATATATATATATATATATATATATATATATATATATATATATATATATATATATATATATATATATATATATGTATATATGTATATATGTATATATGTATATATGTATATATATATATATATATATGTATATTAGGGTGGTGCTCAAGATGTCTTTTTTCACCCTTTATATGGGTTTTATATAGTAAAATAACAGTAACACTAAATTAAAGAAGTTAAAAAGACCTCAGGGAGTGTCTTTTAAAAGATTTAAAGGAGAAAAAGTTTTTTTGACAAATTTTTTTTTTTCAATTTTTAGAATTTTATTTTTGAAATTTTTATATAACTTAATATATATAAAGAATATAATTTAATAATATTTATATTTAAAAAGCATAACTTAATAGTATATATATTAAAAGATTTAAGTTAATTAACTTATAAATTAGTAGAAAATCACTTAACAAAAGTTTTTCATTCAACACTGTGTTTCATCAAAAAAGATGAAAGTTTGAATTTTGTCATTACTATTACTCACTCATTTTTTTTATCACTATGTCATCTTTTTTTCTTCAAATTAAATTAAATATACTCTTAAAACACAATTCATGGATAGAAAAATAGTAACTAATTAGTATATCAAATGATTAAACTATTCTGAAGTTAACACAATATTTAATAGTTAAAAGGTCAACACAATATTTAGTGCAATATTTAATAAATTAATTAAAAAAAAATCATACTTATCAGTTATTTATAATATACAACACAATTTAGCCATTCAATTAATAATACAAACTCAATTCAAGTAATTGAATTAAATTATATTCAATTAATAATACTAATTCAATTCAAATAATTAAATAATACATCACAATCATTTGTTTAGTAAATTTAAAATTATCAAATATATCATACAATTGTGTATTACGCAAATTTCTTAAATTTGCGTATTACACAATTGTATGATATATTTGAATAGATAATATATTAGAAGTTTCTTTCAGATAATATATTATATTAGAAGTTTCTTTCAGATAATATATTATATTAGAAGTTTCTTTCAGACAAGATTTTGATCTATGAATGCATTAAAACTAAATTCAATGCATGATTTTGACATTTTTTATACTTTATAGAAATAGGAATGGCTTCTTTTTGAATTATTGTAAAAACTCCAGTGTTAGTGTTATTGTAAAAACTCCAGTGTTAGTGTTTTTGTAAAAACTCCAGTGTTAGTGTTTTTGTAAAAACTCCAGTGTTAGTGTTATTGTAAAAACTCCAGTGTTAGTGTTATTGTAAAAACTCCAGTGTTAGTGTTATTGTAAAAACTCCAGTGTTAGTGTTATTGTAAAAACTCCAGTGTTAGTGTTATTGTAAAAACTCCAGTGTTAGTGTTATTGTAAAAACTCCAGTGTTAGTGTTATTGTAAAAACTCCAGTGTTAGTGTTATTGTAAAAACTCCAGTGTTAGTGTTATTGTAAAAACTCCAGTGTTAGTGTTATTGTAAAAACTCCAGTGTTAGTGTTATTGTAAAAACTCCAGTGTTAGTGTTATTGTAAAAACTCCAGTGTTAGTGTTATTGTAAAAACTCCAGTGTTAGTGCAGCAAACTTGATTGCTCTGATTTATTACAAAAACTCACATTTCTTTCTTGTTATTTTTTTACAATCAAAGTGCAAAGTCTGACATCTTATCAGACTTTGCACTTTGCATTAAATAACAGTATATTTTTAAAATTACATCCTGTGTTAATATTTTTAATAAATAGATAGCATTATTAATTAAAGTATAGGACAAATATACAAATTAATTAAAAAAAAAAACAAACAATTGATGTTGTTTTTAACTTTAATAACCATTCACACATTTGTAGTTTAAATAAATATTTAATGTTATTTTCAATTTACAGATTTATACTCAAGATTGCTGCGTCGCGGAAAAATAGTTTCTGGTAAAAAAAATGCATCAGTATGGCTGACAAAAAAATCTGATAAAGAAGTCAATTTAAGAAGAAAAAAAATTCAAAGTATACACAGTAAGTACGCAGAAAAAAAAAAAATCCAACATAAAACATCTCTGAACAAATCAAATCAAGAAGCAATTAACAAATACGAGTTTAAAGAATTTAATAAAAATCAACCTATTTTCCATTCCACAAATTTTTCTAAGTTTGAAGATAAAAATAAATTGAATTTATATGTTACTCCAGGATTATATTTGAAACCAAGTTCAGAGTTCAAGACCAGTAATAAACTTTTTCTTAATAAATTAAATGGAACCAATCAACCACAAATTCTAAAAAGTATGACATACTTAAAAGGCACTACAATATCTTTGTCAGCTTCAAATCAAATTTATAAGTATGCTACTGATGTTATGGGAGATTTTGTTGAAGCTCTATTTAAGAATGTAACTACAGCCCATATTTCCAATTTGAAGCTCAATCTATCTGACACTGAAAATATTGTTTTGTTTAAAAACTTGAATAATTTTGGAATGCTAATCTTAAATATTGCAGACAGGCTTCATAAAAATAAAGCTATTGATAAAAATGCAGTCTGGAAATACATGAAAGGATTTGGTGTAAGAGATAATGAAATAAACATTGCATTAAGTTTGTCACAAAAAAGTTATTTTCTGAATATAGCAAGAAAAGATTTGATTGTAAAAAGTTTAATTCGTGTTGGGCAAAGTGCTATTGTTGAAGCAAAAGAATTATTCACTCCACTTAAATTAAAAGAAAATAAACTGAAGGACATTCCACTTGTTTTAGGAGATGTTACTAACTTTACGCTAATAAAACAAGGAAAAGGTTTTCTAGAACAATATAAAGAAGAGCCAACTCACCAAGGCAGTGGAAAATTTGTTTCTCAAAGTATTAATGTTGCCTTAAATAAGTCCGCTATTGATTTTTTAAATAAGTCCGGATTTCAATTTAAAAATATATCAGAAGGAAATATAAGTATTTATTTTGAAAATAACTCAATGCCATTAGAGAGTAAAAAACACGATAAAAATATAAATAATGTGGTCAATGCTGCTACTTTTCCACCAAATATACAGAGTGAAATAGTTTTTCAAGCAACTAATAAAGACAAGCAAAAAAAGGTAACAGAACTTTACCAATTAAACAGCAAAGAAATAAAAACTATCAAACATGTGATAAAATCTCTTCGTAATCTTCAATTTGCTACTAAAAAAACAGCATACACATTAGCAGGTAATAAGACAGTTCAAGTGAGCAAGTTGGTGTTACATTTAAAGCTTCGTGGAGTAAGTAAAAAAAAAATCAACTTAATTACGAATCTGCTACAGAAAAAATATAAGAATAAGAAAGAAAAACTTTCTGATGTAATGAGTTTGATTCAAATTGGAAGAGATGCAGGAAAAATGGCTATTCGGCTTGAAGAAAAACTGACTAGCTTACTTGATAAGTTGAACCAAACAACTCCAACAAAAAATCCTAAGAAACCATTTAAAAATAATTTTGAGTTATCCAGCAAATTAATCAACACACAAAATCAAACTCATGGGTTTTATGATAACAAACATGTTAATATTCATGAAAACTTTATATACAATGGCAGTTCATTTGGTGGATTTGGAAGCAACCATATAAGTTCAAAAAATAATTTGAAATTGAAAGAAATCTCATTGTTATATCCTTTTATTATCAATGTTTCGAATCCTTCACATGTTAGTAACACCAGTTTGGAAAATGTAAACATTTATCAATATTTTACAAATAATGGAAGTTCATTTGGAGGTCTTGGAAGTAACAACGTAAAATCAAGTAAAAATATAAAATCAAATGGGAGCAGCTCACTATTAAATCATATTTTAAATTTTAGTTTTAGTTCTTCTCCTGCCAATAAAACAAGTTTGAAAAATGATAATACTTTTTTGAATTTTACACACAACAGTAGTTTATTATTATCAAGTGCTAGCAGAGAAAACATAAATGCAAGTGAAAAAGATCATGTAAAGTTATATGCTAACAACACATTAGCAAGCTCTTTGTTTCATGTTATTCCTCTGTCTGTAAGTAATAAAAGTTTGGAAAATGTGAACATCATAGAATATTTTGAAAAGAATAGTTCATACAAAAATATAAAAACAAATGCAAACAGTAATACATTGCTAAAAGTTAATAGTGTTTTAGTAAATCCTTTTTTGTATAAAAATTTAAGTCTGGTACCTTTTAGTAAAGAAAGTTTAAAGAATATGAATAAACAGGAATTTAAACATAATGGTAGTTCAGTTAAACATAATGGGAGTTCAGTAGGAGGATCTGATAGCAACAATGTAAAGTTCTCAGCAAATAAACACAATGGGAGTTCAGTTGGAGGATCTGTAAGCAACAATGTAAAGTTTAGTAAAAATGATTTTGCAAAAATAAGTAGTTTATCAGCAAGTAATTTTTTTCACAATTTTTCAAAGTTTACATCTGTTAGTATGACAAATTCAGAGAATATGAGCATTGTTTCCAATTTTACTCATAATGGCAGTTTGCTTAGAGAAGTAAAAGGAAACAACTTAAAACTAAGTTTAAGCAAAAATGCTACAGACTCAATTGAAGGTAAGGAAACAGGCAAAAAGATGGAGGGCAAGAGTATAAAAGGTAAGCAGATGGTAGATAAAAAGATGAAAGGTAAAAAGACACAAGGTAAGAAAATTAAAGGGTTTGACAAGTTTGATTACCGCGCAATGAAAAACAAGCTTTTAAATACTGGAGATATAATCCCGTCAATAAAAATATTCGATGGGCAGAATAAAATAAAAATTAAAAGACTGCAAGAATTAAACAGACTCATTCATAAACTCCTCAGAAATGCAGAATGCAAGTCTAAAAAACACTGCAATTTAAAATCTAGATCAACTAAAGAAAATATATCCCACCACAAGCATTTAAAAACAGCATTAAGAAATGCAACTTATTTAGATAACTTTCTTATGGGTGGAAATAAAAGCATTTATGCTGATCAATCAATTCAAAGTAAGTTTTTGTTTAACAAAGATGATGCTAAATCTGATAGAAAATTCTCTTTAAATGAAAAAATTAAAAAAAAAGAAAAAGAGCCCAAAAAAAAAGGGTTAGTAAACAACCGAACAGAATTATACGGAGAGATTATACCAAAGGAAACAAGTTTAGAGTCTTTGAGTGCATTGAAAAGTTTTGTGTCTTTGAATGCATCGAAAAGTTTAGTATTTTTGAATGCATCAAAAATAAACAAACAGAAAGCTTTGTATAATAAAACTCAACAAAAGCAGCATAACCCAAGTAAAATAAAAGTGAAACAACTAAACAAAATAGAAACTAAATTAGAAATGAATCCGATAAACCAAACTGAAACTAATACTAAAATAAATCAAAAGAACCAGACTGAGAGTGAAAGAAATGGTAATAAAAGAAACAGGCAAACTCAAGAATATTCTCCAAAGCACTTGGAACAAGTTTTGCTAAATTTAAACAAGAAAGTTAACAAGTTATACACTGAAATGGCTATTCCTAAGCTAAAAGAAAAATTAGAAGCAGGATACAATCAACCAACATTAGAGAACAAAACCAACACAATTCCTCTATTACGTTATGTAAGTTATCATAATAATGTTAAACCAAATAATGCTGAAGGTACAATGTGCCAACATGGCCCAACTTTATATTCTACATCACTTTTTGGAGGAGCAGTCGCAGGTAAGATACTACACTACAAGGAGCTAATAAGTACTGGTCAATGTTTGAAGCTTTGCTGTTCTTTATTTGGATGCAATGTTGCTTTAGTAGTAAGAAGTACATGCTACCTGATAAAATGTCGTAAATCTAGATTATGTGAACCAATACATTTGGCAAATAATCCTGACATTCATGTTACATTCTTTTATAAAGGCTTGCATGATAATGAAGTGTCTGTTGCCAGTAGAAGATCAGAAGCTGTTTTAAGAGATGCAGATTTGCATCAAATGAAAGACCAATTTTATGAAAAGAACGAAAAAAGGCCCATTCTTAGTAATGATGAAAGACTTTCTTTTGATGCTTCCAAAGAAAACAAAGTAAATTTGAAACAAGATTTTGAAAATATTAAGCCAGGCAATCTCTTTAACCTATCCCAAGTACCAGAGAAAAACCTTTATGAGTTACTTACTGATTCAAACATGACTAATCTGCATAATGATCATAAAATTTATACCTATGAGAATAATACATATAAGGGGAGAATAAATGATGAACAAATTCTAAAGTACACAAACGATACTACTGAAAATATTTTAAAAACTGTTACAAAAATCAACAACAAATCTAGTTTTGTAAAATCAACCCAAGATTTTCAATCACATAAATTGAGTTATGATCCAAATTTTAAAAATGAACCAAGTAAAATCCAGATGTTAGATGATTACATGTTACAAAAAACAGAGTTACCAAACGCAAAGTTAGTCACAAAACTGAACAATTCTTATAGTTTTAGTCATGGTAACTTGTCATTTCATACTTTTGAAAATCAAAGTAAAGACACACTAAGTAATGTCAATTTGTTTGAAGTCAATAGTAATGTTTCTATATTAAATGGTTTATCTGACCAAAAAGAAAGAGTCACCCTTTTTAGAAAAACCAATGTGACTGCAACAAAGAGTAATAACAACTTTTTAGAAGTAGCTGAAAGTCCTGATCAAACAGGTTTAAGGCAGATTTATAAGCAGATCAATGGTTCAAATTTTTCGGAAGTTGAAAATGTAAATTTAAGGTCGGAAGGGAGAATCGAAAATAAGGTGAAAGAAGAAATGAATAGCATTTTAACTTTAATGAAATGGAATTTTACAAACAGTTTTATAAAAGATGTTCTCCAATTGAATAATTTAACACATAAAAGAAAGGCGATCCAACAAGAGAAAAACAGACAAGTGCCAATTATAAAAGAAAAAGAGAAAGAAAGACAAGTGCCAATTATAAAAGAAAAAGAGAAAGAAAGACAAGTGCCAATTATAAAAGAAAAAGAGAAAGAAAGTGGGATTAATACATCAGGTTCCTCAGAAGATCCTCAGCAAGTTTTTCCATCAACCCTCTCCAGTAACTTCTCTCAAAAAAACATAATTAATGTAAATAATGATGAAGATTTTGAAATGAAAGATCACCCTATAAATTTTTGGAAAAGTTCACACAATCCAAAAATGTTTAGTGATCGAAAAGAAGGCTTATTTACAGAGTTTCAACGTAAAACTTTAAGCAGTCCCTTAATTTCAATCAACTCATCTAATAATCTCAACAATAGCAGGGATAATGATTTCAATAACTCCATACCAGTGATTGATGTAAGAATTGAAAATAAAGATTTACAAATGGAAAATAATGATATAAAAACAAAGCATCCAATTGAACATGAAAGTTACACTCCTTTTAACTTTTCAAGCATGGCGTTAATGAATAATAACATAAGTTTAAATAATACATCAGATAAAACAGAGTCAAATGTATACTCTTTGAAATGGAACAATACTCATAATTTGATTAAAAATATTCTAGAAACAATTAAAAATGAAAGCAAATTCAAAGAAAACTCAAAGTTAAAAGTTGTCATAAATAAGCTTTTGGAATTGGAAAGACATAGAAAAACGGATGATCAAAGTAATTTTTCTGGCTCAGATTTAGAAGAGTACGAAGGAGGCGAAGCGAAAGGAGGCGAAGGAGCGAAGATAGATAATGACGATGAATTAAAATACGAAGATGAAGATGAAAATGAAGAAAAGAATGATATAGTTTCCAGTGAATTCAAAAACAATTCAAATAATTTAAATCACAGCACCATATTGACCAGAAGTAAGAGTTACATTGATGCTACGAACAACAGTCTAGAAAGTAATTCATCTACAAAAAATTTAACTGTAAAAAATTTTAAAGAATTTAGTTCACATGTTTTACATGTGATCGATCTCATTAATCTTGAGAACGAACGAGTTTCGCATTTTTTATCCAAGAAAAAAGTTCTTTTGTTTAATAAGACTCTTAGTTATTTGAGAAACGCTTTACTTGCCATCAAAAATGAACCTTTCAATAAAAAAACTTTTGAGGAGGCAGACCATGTTATACAACTAGTGAAGAAGACTCAGGAACTTATTGAAAGTCATGATAAATTTGAAAAAGAGCAGGAACTTCCTATTGACACAATTTCAAAGACAAAAAATGCTTCAGAAGGTTTCATTGTATCAAACTTTGATGCTAAAAATATTGAAACACACATTAAAGTGTTAAATCCAGACCTTAGTCAGGTGGGGCTTCTAATTCCTAATCCAGTTTTTGAAGAAAAAAATAATTACAGCCAACCTAATCCAGTTTTTGAAGAAAAAAATGATTATAGCCAACCGAATTTAGTTTTTGAAGAAAAAAATGATTTTAGCCAACCTAAGCCAGTTGTTGAAGAAAAAAATAATTTGAAACCGAAGAATAATGTTGAAGCAAAACAAAGGTCTGTTTATTATGCAGAAAAGAATAAAAGTTTAGCAGACTTGAAAAACTTGCAGGTTAAAAAAGTAAATCTGGTCAACAAGGATTTTGATCTTTATGTTGTAAGTGTAGAGAAAAATGCATCAAACTTTTACAATCAAAGTAATCTTATACCATCTGCTAAACCTATTATTACCACAAACAAACAGTCTATTGTTACCACAAACAAACAGTCTATTGTTACCACAAACAAGAAATATATGTCCAAAAAGAAGGGTAAATTGAAAAAAAATCCATATCCTAAAATCCAGAATATAAAGAAAAAAATCCAGTATATAAAGAAAAAAAAGACTAAAAGTAAATCACAACTTTACTTTCAAAAGCACAATATAAAAACCATTCATGTTAATAATAGAAAGAAGCAACCAATCAAAGAACCCACAGAAAATCACCATGGCTACAAATATCATAATAAAGATGACAATCATTTAAGTAGTTTTAAAAGAAAAAAAAGGAAACACAAGTTGAAAAAAAATGACAAATCAAAAAAAAAAGTTAAAGCTAAATTAGATTTACCTTGGAATAACAACTTTCAGAGAGAAAAAATGGTTGAAACTTTTCTTCATGGACAATCCTTGAACAGTCTTGAGTCATCAGCTAAACTCTACCATCCTGATTTGATTGTAGAAGAAACTGATAAAATTATAAATAACATTGATGAAGAAGTAAAAAAAATCAAAATGAAAGGCAAAGAAAAGTCTTTAGAAGATAAAGAAATTTTAGACGAAGATGAGAATCTTCAAAAGGAAATTAGAAAACAAAAAGAAAATTTATACAGCATGTATCCAATTAAAGAAGAAGAATCAGATAAGAGTTCATATCACAACAATACTTTTATTAGCTCTCCAAGTGTGTTGAGTAAACACCTGTATAATTCAATTTCTAATGACAATGCTAATGTAAATAGTGATACAAACAGCTCAACTAATAGTGATGATGAATTTATTACTGTTGAGTTGCAACCACTTAACTCCACTAAAAATCAATTTGTACCTAAATTTAATGTCAAATTTGAGCCTCTTGACGAAGGGAGTATACTAAGTACAAATAAAGAAAGTGCTCAAATAATTCCTAGTTTCTTTAATGTAGGTAATTTAAATGGAAAACTAATAAATAATAATAAAATACATATAGGCATGAGTAGTAATAAATTTGAAGAAGCAAGAAAATCAGGTAAGGCTAACTTCAATAAACCATATGTTGTAAAATCAAAACAAAATATAACTCAAATGAACACAAAGCATGAGAGGCCATTTACTATGAATCAAGAAGCTTATCTTCAAGCTCTACTGCAACTTCCCTCAGAAGAAGTCAGCCCTCAGTTAACTTTTTCTCCAAAGTATGATGAAAATAACAAAGATGCAAATGAAGAAAAACCAATATTAGGTCCTGGCTATGCAAGTACATCAAGTGCAGTTCAGAGACACAGAAATTATTTTTCCGATAAATTATTTAAAAGTCCAAATGAACAAAAAGGTATTTTTGAAAAAGGAACAACACAGCATGCTTTTCATAATGTAAATAATAAAGAATCATTTGGCCCAGAGTCTGGACCAGAGCCTGGCCCACAGCCAGAGCATTGGCATAGAGAGGCAAATGATTATTTTCAAACTAAAAACCAGCCTGAAAAATTGGTTAGAAATCATGGAAATAGTAAGGATGAAAGTTCTTTTTTAGTCCCTCAAAATGTTAATCTTGGAGAGAAACATCAAAATAAACTTTTTTCAGACCAAAACTTGCAAGAAAAATATATAGATCCAAACATTGAACACAGGTTACAGTTTCATGAACCACTTGTTGAGAAATTCCAACAATTTCACAACCCTAAAAGTATGGAAGTTATTTCTAATGAAGGCATAAAAAATCCAATCTTTTTTGCTGATAATAATGCTATAAATGAATCGATTCAATTGCATTTAAATAAAGGCCTTACAAAATCAGGTCTTGAGAATAAAGATCTAGTTAAAAATGATTCAAAATCAATAGAGAAGAACCAATCAAAATCAACAGACCATTCTAACTTTGAAACGAATGAGGAAGAGCTGTCTAAAATCAAAACCTTGAATAAATCTACATATGATAACTCAGAAGGAATCCATGGTATCAACAACATGCTGTTGTTAGATTTAGTAAAAAAGTTGTCAGTATTTCAAGAACTTTCAGAGTACAATCCTGAAATAGCTCAGAGAATTGTTGAAAAAATTAGAAACAGCAAAAACAGAGATGAAATTGTTAGTGCTATTAACAACATAGTACCTGATGTTAAAGAAGAAATACTGTTAAAAGATATAGTTGGAAACTACAAAAAGATTATCCATAATTATGAAACTACTGATAAAAGTTTGAGTTTGGCAGACAACACTTCTTTTATTGGCCAAAACTTAACAGCGGTCAAAAATTTGACAAAAATGCTGCCTGCGCTTCGAAGTGTATCTGGTGAGGCAGCTAATATGGTGCAAGATGTGGTGGATCTTCTAAATTCTAAAGAAAACAAAACAAAGAGCATCTTAAAAGTATCAGAAATTAATTCTGATCACAAAATAAATCACACAAAACCAAATATGACACTTTTAAAGTTTGTTGAAATTGTCAAAGTGGAAAAAAACTCTAGTGATAAAAATGCACAAGTAAAATCTGTATCTGACCTGTCCAATGCAGTAAATAGCTTACTTGAAAATGTATTTAAGTTTGTTGGAAATAAAAGTAACTTTACTAAGAAAGATATTCCAAGTGCACAAGGAATAAAAAAGATGAGCTCAGAAGAGAATAAAACAGCGAAAGAAATGAACCAATCCAAACAAAGAATCATTAAGATAACTAATGAACTGAACGATTTGCTGGAGAAAGTGTTTGCCAACCCATTACCATTTGATAAGAAAGAGATATCAAAAAATGATTCAATAAAACAAAATTCAACAGCCACAAAAGTTTTTCAAAAAGAAAACCTTGAGAGAAATCCTAAAATTGTATTGTATAATAGTAGCAAATCTAATAATGACTTTAATGAAATTGCAGCTAATTTGCTAACAAAATTTAGGCCAACTTCTCAAACAAAGGTAAGCAATTATAAGATTTCTGAAACGATTGAAGAGAGAAAAAGTGAAAGCAAGGTATCAAATAATGTTTTGTTTCCAATTCATTTAAAATCTTCCAAAATTATTCCAAAAGTTGAGCTTGTGGAGGTTAAAAAAAATCCTTTGTTGTATTCTATTGAAGATAATAATATGCCTGACGAAAAAAATAAACCAAATACTCCAGCTTCTATTTTAAAAATTGGGAATTTTGTAGGAGATACATTTAGTAGCACTATACCTATCGAAACCCCTTACATTCAGCCAGTAAAAAATTCTAAAACAGGATTTTTTCATAACAAATATGTACAAGTAGTTGATATACCATTGCATGATGTCAATGATTTCAAGACTTCATTTAATGAGCCCAGTGATATGTCTAGTTTTTTAAAAACAGAGGGAACTAAGTTGACAAATAATTTTAAGAGTATACCAAGCAATAAAATGTTTTTAATGGATAAAAAACAGGGAGAATCTTTATTAGATACTTCCATGCACCTTCACGATGAAAATTATTTTCTAAAAAACAATCAAATGGGACATACAAAAAGTGAAATAGTGGAAGAAATAAAGGAGAAAAAAGTAGCAAATACTATGCCTACTTTTTCAAAAATAGTTCCCACAATAACTCCTTTAAAATCAATACCTATGAGCAAATCTGGTGGAATCATTCTTCAACGTATTTCTTACAAAAACCAAGCACAATCGCTTAAAGAGAAAAATGAAAAGGGGTTTTTTAGTGGCATTAAATCTGATCGTTTATTGAATAAACCTTATTTTAATAAATTTCGAAACTATAAGCCTAGGGCACAAAACAAGTTAAAAGAAAAGCTGAACTTTATCAAAGCAACAATTGAAGATTTAAACAGCTTCCTGCATGATCTTTCTTATCAAAAAAAACATGAAAAATTAGACGATAAAAAAAAAATCAAACATTTGAGACCTGATGAAGACAAAAAGAATGAAGCTAGTTTTAATCCAGGTAATTACTATGATTTATTTTTTAGGAAAACTTTGAATAAATTAGATAATTCTTTTTTAATAAGTCCTTCTGTAGTGGTAGTTCATAATAAAAACAATTTAGGTAGCATGCATTCTGCAGAAGGTGTGTTGAAAGATTTATTTCAACATTTTTCGCCGGCTGATAGCCGTATAGGATCTGTATACAAAGATGTGTCTGGAGGAAGAAAAGATGAGCTACCAAAACCGAAACAACAAATTGATCTTTCTCAAGAATCTTGTCATGTGCAGTCTGTTACGTTTAACAAAACAATCAAAGGAGGTTTACATGCTGGATTGTTTCAACCTGTATTTGAGATTCATAGCATGGGTGATTGTGTCTTAAACTGTTGCAGTGCAGAAAAATGCCACCTTGCGATGTATTATATGGACTTTTGCTACTTGGTAAAATGTAATGATGATGAAGCTTGCAGTCCTGTTCCACTCACCTCAATTTCAAATCAATCACCAATGTTGGTGAAAATCAGAAATGTGAATAATAACACAGTATCAAATCCGAAATCAGAAGTAACTGCTGCAATTGATGATTTAGTTTCTAAACTGTGGAAGTTAAAGTTAGATAAGCACGAATCAGAAGATGAACACATATTTAATAAAGATACAATTACACAAGTTACTAACATATCATATACAAATGATTTGAAAAATAATTCCCAAATTTTTTCTAACACAACCACACCTAGGGTGGTCACACTTCCAATAAAAAGTATTGACACACAAGGTAATCTAGACTCGAAAGTATATTCAAGAAGTGGCGCCAATAAAACAGAATTTTTCTACCACATTGAAAACAAAACAAAACATAGTAACAGTGTTTCAAATAAAGTAACTAACATTGATATTAGTACTGATAGTACAAAACATATTGAATTAATTACAAATAATTCAACTAATGACATTAAAAGTAAAATAAAGTATGTTGAAGGTGACCTCACAAAATTTATCAACATTACCATGAATAGTTTGAATGTTATCAATGGATCTCAAGTGAAAACAACTTTTAATGATGATAAAAACATTATTAAGACAAATGAAACTTTAGTTATAAATGAAAAAGTGTCCGAATTTTCTCCAAAAAATTTTAGCCATTTTTTTATGAGCGAAATTGAAAGTTTGGTGGCGGATGCTTTAACACATTTAATCAACCAAACAAATAAAGTTGCGTTTAAAACCAAATTTAACCAAACAAACAATGTTGCATTTGAAAACCAAATCAACCAAACAAACAAAGTTACATTTGACACCAAAATCTTAGATAACAAAACACTTTCAGATACAAAAAATGTAACAGAGAGTAAAGTTGTTGCAAAGGGTATTTTAAATAAGGAAGTTCAAAATACAAGTTTAGTTTTTACAGACTTTATACAGTTTGTGAACTCAACATCTAAAAAAATTCCAAATGCAGTACATTTAAATAGTTTAAAACAAGGTATAAATATCTCCAACCTTTTGCAAGCACTCAACATAAGGGAAAATAACCAAGGAAAACATGTCACCCCAAAACATAAATTTATCAGAAATAATAAGTTTGGTTTTAGTTTTCAAAAAGAAAATCCAAGTTTATTAACTAATCCTAACGAAACAAATGAAAATAATTTTTTGAATTTAAAAGAAAAAGATAAAGTTGCATTATTATTTGCAAAGCCGATTCTTCCACAAAAATCAATGACTCTTTTAAGTAGAAAATCCAAAACACTTTTACCATCAAATATAAATAAAACTTTTATAGATGTTACTATTTTACCAAATGCTGATTATAAAAGTATGAAGATTGTTGATAGAATAACTGGTGCTATTAGTGGTACATTAATGCAGAAAAATGAGTCTTTTAAATTGTTACCCAATATTCAATCTAACATGTTTACCAACATACATAATTACAGTGATCTTGTACAAAGTTTTAACAACAGAAGCAGTGAAGAGTCACGTTTCACTGAACGCGGTCGTAAACATATTTTAATTCCTAGTCCAGCGCAGACTCATTCTCAAAATAGCAATAGCTACAATATGTTGACTTGCTTATCAACAGATATAAAGACAGGAATGACATTAAAGGCAGGAACAGAATCAGGACACTTTATTTACAGAGATAAAGTTACAGACTTTGACGAATGTATACAGGAATGCTGTCGAGATGCTTCATGTGACATGGCAGTTTCAATTAATAAAAATTGTTATAGTTTATCTTGTGAAAATTTGGATGCGTGTTCAATTTTACCTGCTGAAGCAAATAGTGAGTTTGTTATTAAAATTGCTGATGTAAGAAAAGCTATGGCTAACGAAATTGAAAATGGACAATCTGAATCTGGAAAAACATCTGAAGTTTCTGACATTTCTCCTGAAGTAATATCATTCTGCAAACATGGTGAAATATTATTGGATGTTACACTAAAAGGTGGAAACGAGGCAGGAAAGTTCACTAGTCATGGTCATGTTTCAAGTTTATATGAATGTATCCAGCATTGTTGTGATGCACTATATTGTGATTTAGCCATTATAATAGCAAATAACTGTTTTTCTGTGTATTGTCATAGTAGAGAGCTATGTGAAACTTATCCTACAAGTAAAGACAATAAGTTAAACATCAAAGTAATTTACTTACACAGTAGAGAGCGAATTCCTTTTGATAAAGCAAAAAAAACTGATAAAGACACTCTTTATAAAACCTTGAAGAAGTTGGATAAGGAATCGAATTTTGAAAATAAAGAAACTAAAGAATCAAGAGTTTCAGAATTAGCAGTTACTACTTCCAATGAAGAAACAAAAAATGTTCAAATTACTAAAGTAAACTCTGAAGTAGAAGCTTCGGTTTTAACAACTGTGTCTCCAATATCATTGTTAGCAACTACAGAAGAAACTACAGTTACTACCACATTGACTACAACTCTGCCTTCTACCACTTTGGCAATAGAAACAACAAATCAACCAGCCATCGATATCCAGATTGCTGACACTTCAACCACTGTAAAGCCATTGTTATCTCCACAAGATTTAATAACACTTATTCGTATTTTAAAATCTGAAAACACAGATGTTGCTTTAAAACCAGCTCTAAACTATGAAAATGCTGCAAATAAAGCAATAATTTCACCTGATGATATAACAAAATTAGTACGAATATTAGATCATCCTGTTAACACATTGTTACATCCTTTATCAGCAACAACAGAAAACATCCAGCATCCATCTACAGAATCAGATCACATACATGATATTCATAAAGCAGATGCAAATGCTCCAATCAAACAGCAGTTAGTTAACAATATATCTATAACTAATGCAGACATACCTGTTCCAGCATTCTCTGATGTTAACAATAAAGATCAAGAGAAAGGTTATGAATTTGTAACTGGGAAAGCATCTAATTTGCTAACCAATGAAACCGAATCTTCAGATGTATTACTAAAACTGGATGAATCAAATGGGCTTTTAAACAAAAGTAAATGTACACCTTATCAAGTGTTTGAAGATAAAACTTTATATGGTGGATCCAAAGCTGGAAAATTTTTCCATGAAAAAAATATACATTCTTTTGATAAGTGCATTGAAAAATGCTGCATTGTTCAGACATGTGATATAGCCTTGATGATACAGAAGCTCTGTTTTTTAGTAACCTGTTATTCACGAGAATCATGTGATGTTAGTAATATGAAATCATCTCAATATCTTCCAAAGATTGCATACATAAGGATTGCACTAATGGATGTTGGTAAGTTGTTTAATTTATTGTTTATAATACTTTTGTTGTATGTTACACAGTTGTAGAAGTTTCTCATACAGCTTTTAGAACATGTTTAAGTTGGCCATAAATCTGTATTATATAAAATCCTTTTTACTATTTATTATTACTATTATGCTTAAAACTTGATATTGTGTAAAAAAAACTTAAAATTGAATAAAGTTAATTTTGCACTTATCTTTAAATATATGGGAAGCTAATGTGGAGAGGTATGGTGGTTAAGCACTCACTTTGTAAGCAAAAGGGATATGATATATACCCATCACGAAAGTTTTAAATAAAAAATACAACTTATTTTTGATTGTTTTTATTTTTGTTTTTTATTTTTATTATAAAGCTCTTTTGTATACTACAAGTTATCAAGAATGCTACAAATTATCAAGTATTCTACAAGTTATTAAGTATACTACAAGCAGGGATGCAGAGTCCCAAAAAGGATTTTCGATTTGGCAGTCACAATAAGACTACTTTCTGTTTTTGGTATCCAGGAGCTCTAAAAAATGTAGACAAGCTTATGGACTACTTTTTGGAAAAAAGATTAAGTCTTTTTGGTTTGAGGGAAAATTAATCTTTAACCTTAGCGTCCTTAGGTATAATGGTGGCAGGGGCTCCAGGACTCTGGTTATGAAAACAATAAATTCCAAATAATTAAATGTCATGATTTTTTTTCTTGTAGCAGATCATTAGTTAACCAGCGTGTTTAGAGCTTCTGGAAACCAGAGACCAGGAAATAATAAAGATAGAAAGCCAGAGTCCTTTTCGGACCCTGCATCCCTGACTACAAGCTATCAAGTATAATACAAGTTATTAAGTATATTACAAGTTATCAAGTATACTACAAGTTATTAAGTATACTACAAGTTATCAGTTATACTACAAGTCGTCAAGTATACTACAAGTTATCAAATATACTACAAGTTATTAAGTATACAACAAGTTACCAAGTATATTAAAAGTTGTAAAGTATACTACAAGTTATCAAATATGCTACAAGTTATCAAGTATACTACAAATTATCAAGTTTCCTATAAGTTATCAGGTATTGTGGATAAGGTAGCTGTTGCACAAAAAAATTTTTTTTTTTTTGATTATTGAGAATGAATGTACTATTATAAGAAATATAAAACAAATATTTTTGTGTCAAAATAGTAGACTTCAATTTATATTATTATATATGCATGTATGTTATTTTAAAATAAAATGAATATGATAGATAGCTAGAAAAAGAAGTTTTACTGTATGGAATCAGGGGCTATTCTAGGCTGTTTTTGACAGCGTCGATTGTATTTAGGTGCTGCCTAAATTAAAAATTGAGAAGGACCTTTTTTTTTTTATTTTTTATGGCTAATGTTGTTTTTTTTTTGCAAAAAAATGCTGGTATTCGTCAATATTTCCGCTAAATTTGTCTGGGACAGGGGGGTACCACCACCCAAAATTTTTTCGTAGAATAGCCCCTGGGACTGTATTTGATATTAGATGACCAGAATTTAAGTGACCATAAAATAGTGGCTCCATAAACTATTACTCAAATGGCATATAAAGTTTACTTATGTGTAAGTAAAAAAAAACTAGTATGCAATTTAAAAAATATAAAGTTTATTGTCAAGTGCTTTAGAATAGTAAGTATTATAGGTATACCCATTTCTTCTTTCTGTCTCCTACCCTGCTCTTAACGTAAGAGGAAAAGTTCTACCATCTACCAAGAACAACAATAGGTTATTGTTAATTAGCTTCTAAAGATTTATAATAGATTGTTGTTAATTTGTTTCCAAAGAACAATAATAGATTGTCATTTTACATATATATATTGATATATATTGATATATAATGATATATATATATATATATATATATATATATATATATATATATACACACACACATATATACATATATATATATATATATATATATATATATATAAATATATATCTGTGTGTGTATATATATATGTATCTATGTATATATATATACATATATATATATATATATATATATATATATATATATATATATATATATATATATATATATATATATATATATATATATATAATATATATATATATATATATATATATATTTATATATATATATACATATATATATATATATATATATATATATATATATATATATATATATATATATATATATATATATATATATATATATATATATATGTTTATTATTTTAGATAGTATTTTAGATAGATATTATTTTATATATATATATATATATATATATATATATATATATATATATATATATATATATATATATATATATATATATATATATATAAATATATATATATATATATATATATGTATGTATATATATATATATATATATATATATATATATATACATATATATATATGTTTATTATTTTAGATAGTGATGGAGAAAGAAGAACAATGACTGAAAAGTTACATTACAAATCAGCAATTGAGAAGAAAAATAAAGTGGTTTTTGAAAATCCAACAGATCTTCTTGAAAATCTTAATAACAAGAAAGAAAAGTTCATAGCTTCATTGATAGGGCAAAAAAAGCAAAACATAAATTATTTACCTAAGTTTAATAAATATCTTTTTAAAAATGGTACCAATTTTCAAAGGCATTCAGTTTCTACTAAATTAAGACACATCAGTCCAAAAGCTAACTTACATCAAAAAACAATGCAATCGACTTTAGGTATATCTGCTACTGTAAAGTCACATGTGAATATTCGCCCGCATCATATTAAGGAAAACAATAATATATCTTCAAGTCATAAAAGTAGATTGGGTAACAGTAAAAAAATAATGCCTAATCTTTTTAACAATGAGTCTATTAAAATATTTAGACAAAAAGAGTTTTATCCAACTGTTTTGCCCTATTTGCAAAAAAATACTGTTAATACTATTAACACAAAATCACATAGAAAATATTCTACTTTTTTTCCAATCACAAACTCTAAAAGTATTAAGCTAGAAAGTAAAACAACAAAAGTTGATATTTATAACTATACAAATAAGAAAAATTGGATTGAAAAACCCATAGATCAATTTTTTCATATGACCCTGAAACGAAATGATTCAATATTCTTGTCCACACTAAAAGATGGCAGTCCCCTAAATAGCACTGAGAGAGGAAAGGTTTTGGAGTCTTCTTTTTATAATGAATCTTTTTTAAAGCATACAAAAACACAATTGCCTAAAGTATTTCCAACAACCAGTTCAGAACAAATTTATCAGCATAATGAAACGAATGTATTACCATCGAACTACTTTAGGCCTACTTCAAGTAATTTTAATAAGCTAAAACTTTCTTCAGTATCCTATCCAATGTTTCAACTAAATTTCAGTCATGAATTACATAATATGACATGGAGTCCATTAAATACATCTAAAATATTGACTAGAAAGACAAAAGAAAACCAATCATTGGTGACATTTTTAGTATATAATAACTCCAACAAAGAAAACTTTGTTCACCTTGAAAACAAATTACGTAAAACTGAAGTTGCTTCTTCATTTCCAGATCCCTTAAACAAATTTAAACTTAATAAATTTATGATTCAACCTTTAATAAAATTGGTTAATGAGCTTGTTCACAATGAAACTAAAGTCTCACTAGCTAACATGAAAAGCTATATACAAAAGTTAAAAGAAGTTTTGGATATTGAAACTGATGCTAAAATTGAAGAACAGAAAGAATTTTATCTGAGTTCTCAAAAATTAAAAGAAAATTTTGAACAAACACAGTATATTTTGGAAAAGTTAAATAAAGTCATGAAATCAGTTCAAGATTTGGAAAAGGAGAAAATAAAAAATAACTCTTTAAAAAATAAAAATGATAGTTTTATAAATTGGTCAAGACAAAAAATTAAACAATTGAAATTTAACCATTTAAAAAAAAGTTTTAAAAAGAAAAAATATAATTTAAAGAAATCCCAATACAGCAAAGAGGATTTATTAAAAGAATTTAGAATAAATACCAACACATCAGTTAAAAACCAAATAAACTTAAAAGAAATTCGTATCAATCTACTTGATATTATTGACAAATTAAATTTCATAGATAAAGAAGTGATAACAAACAAATCTCAACTCTTAGGTCCTGTTTCCAAAACAACCTTTTTTGAAGAAAACATAACAAGAGAAAAAGAAAGAAAGAAAAATGATTATGCGAATCTAATGAGAAAATGCAACTCTAACTTTACTTTTTACCCAAACCAAAGACTTAAAGGTGGTTTAAGATCAGGTTTGTTTAGTTTTAGAGGATTTGTTTTTAACATAGAAGATTGTGTAAAAGCTTGTTGTCAGTTAGATAATTGCAACATAGCATATATTCATAAAACACTGTGTTTTACAATACAGTGTAGTAATTCTGCATTGTGTGTCCCTGTTGCAAACAAACACCAAAAAGAAGAATCAATGCTAATATTTTTAAAAAGAATGCCAGGAAGTCACAGTTTGTTTGATGAGTCTGAAATAATACTATCTGATCCTGATTTAGAGCTTCACCCTAAATCTTTGCATCCTGCTGTTTCCATAAGATCTGGTAAAACAGATGGAACTAACATAAGTGAAGGTTTCAAAGATATAACGCCTTTTAATGATGTCCAAAACAAGGTTTTAACACCAATACATTCAAATATCTACAACGATGTTATGTGTTTAAAAAGCAACACACTAATTGATTATTCGTTAAAAGGCAAGTGGAAGGCAGGAGATTACATTAAATATGAAAATATAAAGAGTATAAATGAATGTAGAGATCTCTGTTGTAAATGGAGCGAATGCCATGTTGCCTTGTTACTTAAAAATTGTTACAATATTAAGTGTAAATCAAGCAACAAATGTACACTTACAAATACTCAAGTAGATAAATTTATTCAATCAAAACTTACTATTGTAAGAATATTTGGAAAAAGTTATTTGCAAGTGCCTCAAAAAGCTCAAGAGAAAACACTAACAGATAAACATTTAATTCCAACTGTGTCTGTTCAAAAAATTTCAAACAAAATAATTTCCTATAAAAGAAAAAGCCAAATTGAAAATGAAACAGCAAGTATGGACCAGTTAAAAGATTTGGAGACTTTGTTGGAAGACTTTAAAAATACTTCAAGCTTCGAACAAATAAACAATATCAAATTTCAGCAAACTGGTAATAAAGTATTATCTGTAAACAATGAAAACGCAACAAATATTTCATTTGATGACGATGTAGAGCCACTAAGGCAAAAATCAAGTTTATCTTCAAACAGTGAAAATAAAATTGATGTCATTCCAGAGCTTTCAATTGTTACAACTGATAATGATTATGAATTGCCTCCTGATAAAATAATGTTTTTTTCTACACCAAGCAAGAGCTCAAACTATGATGAAATAAAAAATTTAAATGCGATGTATTCTGGACCTACTGATGCCCTTAAAGAACTTCAATCAAAATACTTTGCTCAAAATGATTTTAATGAATTAGGTTTTAACAACCCTACACAAGGCATGTCTAGTGTACATACTAAACCTGCCATGCAGGCCACAACTCTAACTAAAAATGTTGTTATTTCCACATCCACAACTCTAAATGCACCTATCAGTCCAACTTCTCGCATCATTCAGAATACACAAGCCAACATGGCAACATACAAAATATTTGATAGAAAAAGTGATGAAAATTATGAAAATGACAAGCAGAAGAGTCAAAATAAGATTGCTGACCCAGAAAGTTCAATATTAGTTTACATAGATCCAGAGGATCAAAATTTTGATATTGTTGAAAAACCTACAGAAGCCCCTCATTTTGAGCCTAAAATTGATCAAAGAAATAATTTTACTGACTTTTCAAGTAGTTTTATAAATAATCCACTCAATCAAACCAAAGAACAGGTTATAGTTAACAAAGAAACTTCAGTAAATTCAAATAAAACAGATTTTGCTCCAAATGATTTTAAAAGCAAAAAGTTAAATGACTTAAAATTACATTTTAGTAACAATGAGCAAAATGTTACAGAAAATAAAATGAATACAAAAAATGTTACAGACAACAGTGTATATGAGCACAATTTTGCACAAAATATACATTATCAGCACAACATAACAGGCAATAAAGCAAATGAGCCTATTATTTTAGGCAATAAAGTTGTGTTAAATACTGTTTTCAGTGGTAATGATACCAGGAACCAAACTCCATATAAAAACTCTGATCTTGTAAATTTTCCCCGTAAAAAAATATGCAAGACAACTGATCGCCTCTACAATACAACTTTAAAATATGGACTAAAATCTGGAATATTTTTTGATGAAGGAATAGTTTCTAATCTTAACATCTGCATTAAAATGTGTTGCAAAAAAAATGAATGCAATATTGCATTTATGCTTAAATCAAGATGCTATTTAATTGCCTGCAGTGAGTTTGAAAAATGCACTCCTATTTTGTCAAAGTCCTCATATTTTTCTCCTAGACTTGTCTATGTACCAAAATCTGAAACTATGAGACAAACATTCAGAAATATAGTTAAAGATTTTCAAGATAAAACTCTTAAAGAAAAAATAACTACAGAACCACTACTCTTACCCATAGATAGAAGTGATAAACAAATTTCAGAATTAGGTTTAGTTAATTCCTCTCTGTTAAGCTTAAAAACAAAAAATGCATCTGTAATTAATGATTCTATTTTACCAACATCCATGATTGATGGTGTTGTATTTAAAGCATCCCCTCTAAATGTAAAACCAACTGTAAAGTTAAACATTGCGGAAAATAAGACAGGAAAAATATTGCAGAAACAAAATGAACATTTACAGTATAATAATTTTGATCAGTCTATAAAATCATTGCAGTTACAGTTTAAGGCGATGATGTCATTAGTATTAGACAGATTCCAAAGTATGGAATACAATAAAACAATTATTATAGACTTATTAAAGAACTTAACAAATGATAATATGAAATCTGAGGGTGAGCGCATGAAACTAGCAATAGACATGTTACAAGGTATTCACAAAGATTTGGAAAAATTAAAACCAAGTATAGAGAGCCACAATGAAATGAATGTGACCAAATTAATGGCATCTTTTTTAAATGCAAGTAAAATAGAAACTGATCCTAAAAGCAGTTTTGATTTAAATAGCACTTTAAACAAATTCGCAGAGCATATTGTTGGCCTATTAAAAACAGATTTCTCTAGAAAACTCAAGACATCTCCAGTTTTACAGAATCATGTTTATAATCCTAATTTAAAAAATTATGAAAATTATACAGAAAAAAATCTATCAATTAAAAAACTTCAACATGAAAATCAAATCTCAAAAACTTCACTTGAAGACATACTAAAAGTAAAAAGTGAAAAAGCAGTAGAAAAAGTTACTAAGCTAGTTGAAAAAATGGAGTCATTCATTAATCATGTAGACACAATTAACAAAAAACTTTATAAAAATCAGCAAAACAAAACTGCTGATGAAGAGTTTCTCAAGTATCTCCACAAAGAAATTAATGTCCTAAACATGACAGAGGTATTAACTAAAATACAAAACCAGGTTAAAGACTATCTACACAAGGAATCTGAAAATATGAAACACACACTTGTAGAACCACTTATTGGGAGAATTGATGCCATTATGGAAAATATAACTTCATTTGAAAAAAAAAGAGTTTTTCCCACTCAGATTCCTTCACCTGCAATTAAATTGCAACACAATAAAGAAATAAATTCTAAAGAGTACAATAGTTATAATAAAAATCTTAAAAGAAACCAAATACTAAATGTCGCTTCAAAGACACTTCAAAATGATGTCAATTCGATTGTAGCAAACTTAAAGCAAGAGTTGCACTCAATAACAGAACAAGTTCATAGCTCATTATTTAGTCAAGGGTTTGGGAAAGTGCCAGGGGTTCCTATTTCTTACAATCACTTTTTTTCTAAAAAAGCTAGTTCAGCTTTATCAGCTGTTCCACAGTGCAGCCACACTTTGCCTTCTGTGGGGTACACCTTTGCTGGAGGAATTAAGTCTGTTGAATATTCAAGTGTTGGGAAGGTAAACACATTTCAAGAATGTATTGAGTATTGTTGTCAGTATAAAGAATGCGATGTAGCTTTGATGCTAAATCAACACTGCTATAAAGTGCGTTGTCTCTTAATAGAAGGGTGTCAGATTGTTAAAGCAAATGATTTGCTCTTTGAGGTAAAACTGGCTGTATTAAGTCGGTACTTTGAAAGGCAGCAGAATATATCAACCACCAAAGTAACCTTTTTAAACAAACCATCATTGTTTAAAATAGTTCCATCAATGTTCATTTCAAATACAATACCAACTAGATACCACTTTGTTGCTAACAACTTTCAAAACAAACCAGATAAAAGTATGGCTACAACTGATGAAGGAAATTTGTTAGCTGATATGTCAGTACTAAAACCTACAATGCATTTGGCAAGTTCAATACTAAAGCCTACAACGCATTTGGATAATACTATGCTTTCTACAACTGTAGTACCTATTTTAAAGCAAGTTTTTAATGATTTAAAAACTCATACTGTCAATAAAACCTTATATACAGAAGAACAATGTTTGCATGAAACAGTTAAAGATGGTTTTACATTGAGCAAAGGACTTAAAGCAGGTCAATTTTCTATGGTAGGAAGTGTATATGATTTTCCTCAATGCATAAAAAAATGTTGTCAATCAAATTTATGTGATGTAGCTTTTATGATTAAGCACATTTGTTACACAGTTAAATGTTATAAATTGGATAGTTGTGATTTAGTTCCTGCATTTAAATCTGTATACAATCCTAAAGTAGTTGTTATGAAAAGGTTTAGTGACACGCTTTTGATTCAGCAAAACAACCTGGTTGCACATACTAATTTTGATGATAAAAAAGTTTTTGTATCAATTCCTACAAAACTTTGCGATCATATGACACCAACTACTGATGAAATTCTAGAGCAGGGATTAGACATAGCAAAATACAAAAGTATGGGGGAGGTCAAAGATTTTAATATATGTCTTGAAAAATGTTGCAAATCAAGATGCGATATGGCGCTAATGGTAAATAAACACTGTTACCAAGTTGACTGCTTCAAGCATGATTGTAGATTAGTAAAAACAAATGATTCCATAGCCACAATATCCATTTTGAAAAGCTACTTTGATAAAGTACTTAATACTAAAACAATGTTAGAGAAAAAAAATGTGGGAAAAAATAGTTTAAAGATGTTAACCACAACTCGATCACCTCGATATTTTTCAGTAAATGACAAAATAACCAGGATCATATCAGATATTACTCCATATGAGTTATGCAACCATAGCGCTGTTCAATCTGGTTTTACACTTTTTGGTGGACAAAGTTCTGGAGTCTACAAAAAGCATGGAAAATTAACTTCATTTGATGATTGTTTAAACCTATGTTGTCAAGATGAGGCTTGCAACATTGCTTTCATGATTGCAAATTATTGTTTTACGATACAATGCAATAGTAGCATAAGTTGTAGGTTAGTACAATCTAAGCCAACTATCTACACTCCTTTAATTTCTATTGTTCGAAAATATGTTGGGGAGCAACTAACAAAAAATGTAAAAAAAATATCTTCCATTGATTCTCAACCTAAAGCATTTGTTGATAATTCTTTAGCTAAAACAAAATTTAAAAATGATATTATTGATCAGCAAGATAAAGAACTTATAGATAGCTTATCTCCTCTATGTAAGCATAGTATCCCAACATTAGGTTACACTTTGCTGGGAGCAATGAATTCCGGAAATTTTACACGATTAGGTAATGTAAATCAATTTAGTACATGTGTGAAGGCTTGCTGTCATTTTGAACAATGTGATCTTGCATTTATGCTTAAAACTCACTGTTATGCGGTTCACTGCATACTTGAGGAAGAGTGTCTTCTTGTACCAGTTGCTAAAGGCTCTTCACATTTGCCTACCACTTCCATTATTAATGATGCAAGAGTGTCTATTCAATTAAAATCAACATTATCTACGCCTCTACAAAGTACTAATAACTTAGTACACAAAAGTGAACATTTTCCTACACCATGGGTTACTCAATTTAAGTCTTTAAATAAGCAAAACACAGCAACTATAACACCAGTCCCATCAGCACAGATATCTGTTCAAAATCCTGTTAAAAGAGCACCAAAAGCAACATTAAAAACTGAAAAAACTAAAGCAATGGTAAAGGCTTCATCAAAAACTACATCAAAAGTAGCACTCAAAGCAACGACAAAACCAACAATAAAAGAAACACTGTTAGTAACACCAGAAACAACAACAAAAGTAACAACAAAAGAAACACTGAAAGCCACACCAAAAACTACAACAAAAGCAACAACAACAACAACAACAAAAGCCACACTAGAAACAACAGCAAAAACAACAACAAAACCAACAACAAAAGCTACACCAGAAACAACAACAGAAGCAACAACAAAAGCCACACCAAAAACAACAACAAAAGCAGCAACTAAAACGATACCAGAAACAACAATTAAAGCAACAACGAAAGCCACACCAGAAACAACAGTAAAAGCAACCACAAAAGCAACAACAAAAGTAACGACAAAAGCAACAACAAAAGCAACAACAAAAGCTACACCAGAAACAACTACAGAAGCAACAATAAAAGCCAGACCAGAAACAACAGCAAAAACAACAGAGCCAGAAACAACAGCAAAAAAAACAACAAAAGCTACACTAGAAACAACAACAAAAGCTACACCAAAAGCCACACCAGAAACACAAACAAAACCAACATCAATAGCAACACTGAAAGCAAGACCAAAAACAACAACAAAAGCAAAACTAAAATCAATCAAACAAAATCAAGACAAATCAAAGACAAAACCAAAACCATCCCAAGAAGCAACAACAAAAGCAACAACTATCTTAACTAAAAAAGAAGCATCAAAAACCATACTAAAAATAACACCAGTAGCAACAATAAAAGCGAAAATAAAAACAACAAATTTAATACCTCAAAAAACAGCAAACTTATCAGTACTTAAAACACCAACAGTAACATCCTTCCATAAAGAAAAAAAATATCTCAAAAAAATAAAACCAAAATTATTACACTATACAGAAGATCAAAACATAAGACATCTTATAGCTAGCTTTACACCAGAATTAGACTGTAAGTATAATGATGTAAAACCTGGTTTTACTTTGCTTAGTGGAGCAAATGCAGGCCATTTTCTATATATGGGTAAAGTTAAAGACTTTGATACATGCATCTCAAAGTGTTGCAGCCAACAAGACTGCAATGTTGCTTTTATGATAAAATTTAAATGTTATGCAGTCCATTGTCGATCAAGGTATGACTGCATGCTTATAAAAGCCAAACCTTCTGAGTTTATGCCAATTGCTGCTTCTATGAAGTCATTTTTAAGTGAGGAAAGTAAGACTAGTAATCTTCAAAAAGATGAAAATGAAACCAACGAATTTTCAAAAGAATTTTTTTTAAACAAAAGTAAATTGGAAGAGGAAAATTATTTTAAAAATATTAAAATCACAGATAAGATCTTGAGAAGCAAAATTCCAACTGCAAGTAGTTTAGGAACTATTAAACCCCCAGTCACAAAACCACAGTCACATTTTTCTAACAAAATTAATACCATGTCCGGGCTACATGGTGAATCCACGACACACAAATCTTACACACGCCAATCTACTCTACATTTGGCACATCCCCTGTGTCAATATAGCCCGGTTTCTTACAATGTTTCGCTGCGTCATGGAAAGGAGTCGGGCTATTTTACTGATCAGGGGGTTGTGAAAGATCCAATCCACTGTGGAGTGAAGTGCTGTCAAGTTCCTAAATGTGATGTAGCACTTATGCTAAAAAATAAATGTTATACAGTTTCTTGTATAACAGCAAGGGGGTGTGAAGCAGTTGAGGATACTACTTTACCATTCTCTTCGGCTGTAATTTACATCATTAAAAGCAGTCAAAAGGAAAGTTCTAACAGTCTTGTTGATTATCTTCATAAGTCTAAGATAAAAGAATTCCAAAGTCCTTATCAACTTCAAATTAAAAGAAAGAGAAAAGAACCAAAGAACATAGAGAAACTGCATAAATCTACCGAAACAACTATAAGATTGCATTCTCCATTTTCTGCTAAACAAAAAGCTTCTACAATTAAAAAGTTTTTTTTAAACAACATTTTATCCCCTGAACTTAAAAAAAATTATTTACCAACAAAAACTGTGGTATCTCTAAAAAATCATTTTGTAACATCTACTGATAAAGAAACCGAAAGGTCAAATATTGTTCTTCATGAAGATGATCAAATTCTAAATGCAGAAGATTCAATATTAAATCATTTTCCTGTTTATAAAACTCCAACATTCAAATCAATAAAGTACAGTTTATCAGATGATCTTGTCAATAAGGATCAGGAGAAAGAATCTAAAAGTGAAACCTTTCCTGAAATAAAAATTTTTATTCCTGAAGAAGATTATCAATTGAATCTTGATCCAACATTAAAAGCTTTATATCACCCAACACCTGGCCTAAATCCTTCAAAACTATCATCTTTAAGGGATAGTTTTGTTCTAAAAAACTTTGTTGATTTTAATAGGAGCAGCAAAGTATTTCCAAAAAGCAAATCATATATGAATGACAATAATTATGTTCCACATTGTATTTTTGGTGAACTTCAAGACTATGTAACATTGCAAGGAGGATTAAATGCGGGTATTTATTCTGATAAGGGTGTTGTTTCTAGCCCATATTTGTGTGCATTGCACTGTTGTAGTGATATCAAATGTGATTTAGCATTTATGATATTAAACAAATGCTATACCGTAGCATGTTTGAACAAAATGTCTTGTCAAACAGTAAATGCTGCTGGAAATCCTTATCATCCCCAGGTTATTGCTGTCTCAAAAGAATTTCCTATTTCTAGTTTATATCAAACCACATTTTCAAATGTATATGATGAAAATGCATTAAAAAAAGCATTAACTACTTCTCAACCTATTCTCCAGTCTACAACTACTCGCCAGTCTACAACTACTCTCCAGCCTACAACTACTCTCCATCCTACAACTACTCGCCAGCCTACAACTACTCTCCAGCCTACAACTACTCTCCATCCTACAACTACTTTCCATCTTACAACTACTCGCCAGTCTACAACTACTCGCCAGTCTACAACTACTCGCCAGTCTACAACTAGTCGCCAGTCTGCAACTACTCGCCAGTCTACAACTACTCGCCAGTCTACAACTACTTTCCAACCTACAAAGAGTCCTAAATTCCTCCTTAACCAAAAGGATATTCCTTCTTCTGATAGCCAAAATAATATCTTATCTTCAGAAAGTGGAAAAAGTATTTTGTCTTACAAACATAAAGATGCTTCAGCATTGACCTCTATAGTTGAAGAAAATGAGAGTTGTTTAAAAAACTCATTTATAAGCAATCTTTCATTTACTAATGGATTACAAACTGGGAGTTTTAAACAATATGGTGTAGTTGAAAGTGATTTAAATTGTCTTGAAAACTGTTGCAATGAAGAAGGTTGTGATGCAGCTTTCATGCTTAATAATTATTGCTATACTGTGAAGTGTTTCATCAAGCCATGCAAATTAACAAAATCAAAGTCTTTCTTATTTAACCCAAGAATCGCATTAGTGGAAAGATCTGGTGAGATTTTAAGGAAGTCATTTATACCAACAATGCCACTTGCTGAAAATGGAGATCCTTTGAAGAGTTATTTTAGCCCGACTAGTATTTCAAAGGAAATTTTAGACACAAAACAAATTAACATAAAGGACACAAAACAAATCAACAAAAAAATTAAAAACAAAAGCAAAATTACACAAAAGATTGATTCTGTTGTTAACAAACTTGATAAATTGGAAAAAAAAATTTATAGTTTAAGCCAAAAACCAATTTTTCAAAAATCAAAATTGATCCTAAGTAGACCAAATAAAATTAATACAGGAGGAGTTTATGACTTGGGAGCAACAGATGTTGACTTTAGAGCCTGGGATAAAAATGTTCCTGATTTAAATGATGAAAAGATCATACAATATGATGACGACTTTAAAACAAAACGAATTTTCGTCACTCCTCTGCACCATAAAACAGATGAAGAAGAACTAGATCCTACTTATTTAAAAGGAGATGAAAGTGTTCCTGTAATAAAGTTTATTAATGATGATGAAGGTGGTGATGATGATGAAAAAGAAAAATTGAAAAATGATAATGATGATATTGATGATGACATTTATGATGATGGTTTCTATTATAAAAATATTAATTCCAAAAAGTTTCATAATCAAAGAAAAATCCATTTAAATAATGCTAAAGAAAGGAGTTTTAAAACAAAGGAACCGCCTTTAGTTGTTTTACAAAGAGTCACTGAAAACACCAAAAACAAGCTCATTAAAAAAAAGTATAAAAAAAAACATTTAGAACGACACAGCATTTATGGTAAGTTATGATTGTAACATTATTTTTATTACCATTTTTTTATAACTGCGGCTTTGAATATGTAAATTCTTAAATTCATATTATAGAAAACAATTATGTTAAAAATGTGAAACCAGCTCCACATGCGCATGATTTTGTTCGCTTCATGACAACACCTGTTGCGACGCCTACTTTGCAACCTATACAAGATTTTACTAAGCCATATCAAACACAGGACTACATAACAGTTCACAAATATGAAAAAAAATTTGTGTTCCCAGTTCATGATGACATTTCACCAGATGAAGAAAGGTATGTGGTTATTCCAGACTATAAAACTAAAATTTTAAACTTACTTCAGGAAGATAAGTTAAATAGAAATTATTCACTGAGCATTCACAATGCAAAAGAAAAACATTTAACTCAAAGCATAAACTTAAAAAACAATGCAAACAAGTTACACCTTTCAAAATACATTAATGAATCATATCCTTTAATAAATGATGTTGAAAATGTTGCTGTTGAAAATTTTTACATTAATGATTCTGAATCACATATACAAAACAACACCACCGTGCACCCATTAATACATCCATTAGTACACCAAGATAGTCCAATTATTATGAACTCGAATGGTGAATTAATCAATGCAATGGAGCTCAAGACCATAGACAATAAACCAGTTTATCTGTTGAAACCAACTGGCTCCACTCAAACTTTGCTAACTACATTATCAACAGGAGAAAAAGTAATTCGAGTCTTAAAAGGTGTGCTGGAAGAAAATCGTAAAAGTCTTGAAAAAACCTTACAAATGCATCAACCTACAAAAAAGTCGAATTCAGATCCAACTAGTTTTACCAAGAATAACGTATTTGGAACCTTGAAAAATGCTCCTCAAGTCAAAGGTTCTAAAAAGTATTCAACTAAACCACCAACAAATGGTGCAGCAGAAAGAATTCTGTATGCTGTTCGTAAGGCATTACGTGATGAGAAAGATAAACTGTTTCGAGGCATCAAAGTTGAGCCCACAAGTAAAGTTATTTCTAATATAAAAATTAATTTATCAAAAAAGGTACAGAAAAAGAAAGACAAAAAACACTCAAAAAAAATTCTTGTTCCAAATAAAAAAAAGAAGTCATCTGAAGAGAGAATAGAAGCTGCAATTAAAAACTATTTAAAAGTACAAAAAGAAGAACTAAAAACAATTTTGAATAAAACATACCAGTTTACTAAACCAACAACAGCACCAATAACTAAAAGCGATGACATTGAAGAAAAAATTATATATGCTATTAAAAAAGTTCTTGAAGAAGAGAAAAAAGAAATAGAAATGTTGAAAAATGAATCAGTTTTATCAACATCACCAGTCTCCAAATTAACATCAAAATCAGTTAGCGTAAAAATTGCAGATGCTCTCGAAATTATTCTTGGTAATAACTCAGATAAAATTTATCAAGAAAATGGAAGTTTCCATTTAACTCCTGAAGAAAGAATTTCTTTAGTAATAAAACGAGTTCTTGTTGAACAAAAACAAGAAATAGAAAAACTTAGGAATGAATCTAATAAAATATTGCACCAAATGACACCTATCTCTTCAACAACTCCAGTGTTGTTTAATGAAAAGGTTCATTCTGCCATTGTGAGTGTACTTAAAAATAAGAAAAATAATAAATTCAACCAAACAATTGGAAACCCTACAAAGAAAAGCAAAGGCTTTGGCACAAAACACCCCACTGAAAATAGCCTAAATGTGTTGAAAAAAGAAAAACAAATAAATGAAATTGACACAACAATAGACAATATTAAATCCCATCCAACAACAACAATCACAGCACCCCTTGGAATAAGTTTAACAATGCCCATTGCATCATATCCAAAACATGCATCAGAACCCACCAGAACATCAACTAAACACCATCTAATATTATCTCCTTTTCCCATAAAAAACATTATCAGAGCTATTAAAAATGAAATTAGAGATGAAAGAAAAAAAATTGAAACAATAATACACAGTGTTAAACCAACTCTCTCATCAACACAATCAACAACTCTTACTACAAAAAGCACTTTACTTGATGATATTAAGGATTTGTTTGCAAAAGAAAAACTTTATGTCAAAGAATATCAGACCAATCTAACAGCTTTTAAGCCAAATATAATAGCAACTCCTATACCAATGAAAAAAATTCTTAAGGCAATAAAAGAAGAGATGCGAGTTGAAAGAAAAAAAATCAAAGCATTAATGCGTAGTATGAAACCACATATCACTCTGTCTACAACAAGTTCAACAGTGACAACTACAAAAAGCACGTTGCTTGATGAGATTAAAGAAGTAGTGGCAAAAGAAATATTACATTCCAATCAACATCATAATCTAACAACTTCCAGACCAAAATTAATGGCTACCCCTTTACCTATAAAAAACATCATCAAAGCAATAAAAGATGAAATAAAAGATGAAAGAAAAAAAATTGAAATCTTAGTGCGTGGCATTAAGGCACATACAACTAAATTACAACCTATTTCAACAACACTTACTACAACTAAATTACCACCTACTTCAACAACACTTACTACGAAAAGCACTTTACTTGATGATATTAAGGAATTGGTAGCAAAAGAGAAGATACATTTGAAAGAATATGAAACCACCCCTAAACCTATTATAATAGTGAGTCCTTTACCAATTGAAAATATCATGAAAGCCATAAAAAAAGAAATGAGAATTGAAAGAAAAAAAATTGAAAAAATAGTGCGTGATCACAACTCCTATCCTAGACTACATACAACACTATCAACATCAACAACACCCACAGCTAAAACCACTTTAGTTGATAAAGAAAAAAAAATAGCATTAATTGAAAAAACAAATTCTGAAGTGCTAAAGACTTATAAAACAACTCCTAAATCTTCAACAACTCTTTTACCAATGAAGAACATTATCAAGACTATAAAAGAGGAGATTAGAGGCGAAAGAAAACAAATTGAGAAATTAATGAAATCACAGCTAACTAGAGCAACTGTACCAACAAAACACATGACAACAAAACACACGACAACAGAACACACAACAACAAAATACACGACAACAAAACACATTACAAAAACAAAATTGACAACAAAACTCGTTACAAAAAATACTTTTGACATGCTCTTAACAAACATATTAAAAAGACAAAAACAAGAATCTCAGCCGTCTTCTTCTATAAAAGATGCCACAAACATGATAAGTGAAGTGAAAGATTTGTTTAAGCAAAGTAAAATTGCAATTGAAAGTCTAATAAACAAAACCAGAACAATAACAAACCAGCAAACAAACAAAACTGAAACATCAGCCTATAGTAGCCAACTAATTGTTGATGGTAAAAACAATGAAAATAAAATAATTTCAGATATTAAACAAGAAATACTTAATGAAAAACAAGACATTGCACTTATGCTAAACAAATCACTTGCTTTGCATAACCCTACTGTAATGTCAACAAAAAAACCTTTGGGAGCTGAAATTTTGTCTGAAATTAAAAATATCCTAAAAGAGGATAGATCAAGTATGAGGGCACTCATTAATACTACTCTAAACGGTTTTAAATCAACTTTGCCAACACCAAAAAAAGTTAAAAACTTTGAAACTGCAGAAATGATCTCTACCATGAAAGAGGTTTTTAACAAAGAAAAAGATGATATAAATGATATAGTTGAGAAATTAAAACCTTCAGTTACCACTCTTTCTTTTTACACAACAAAAAATCCATTAGTGAGGGAGATGAAAGATGCTTTGAGCAATGAGATTCTCGAGTTTAAATCTCTTATTGATGATATTAAATTAAAAGTTAATCCCACTAAAACTACTTCAAAAACTTTTACTTACACACCCACTCACCCACACATACAAACATTCACTCAGAACTTAGTTGCAGATTTTAAAGATGTGTTATCAGAAGAACGAAACGAAATTGAGCATTTAGAAAAAAATGAAAACCCTTCTAAAAAATCTTTAGAGAAAAACGCAGACATTGTTAGTGAAATAAAAAGTGCTTTAAGTGCAAGTACTGACACTATTAAAGATCTAATTGTTAAATCTGTCCAAAATATTCCTTTATCTACGCAAAAACCTTTCAATTTGCATACTACAAAACAGAAGGTGACAGCCCTTAAAACTTTTCCCATAACCAAGTCTGGCATGTTACAAGAAATAAAGGCCATTCTTTTATCTGAAGATTCCCTAATGAAGCAGATGTTAAACCAAACAAAAAGTATTATTCATGTCACATCTAAACCTCTGACAACATTTATGAAGCAAAAACAAGTATCTACCCATGATTCTGTTATTGATGCAATTAAGGAAATCAAAGGTGTTCTCGAAGAAGAAAAAAATGCAATAAAGTTTATTCAAACAAACATTACAGCACATTCTCCAACTCAGAAACCACATAGCACAACTCGAAAATTACATAGTCCAGCACATAAAACATACACTCCAGCTCATAAAGTATACACTACAGCTCATATAATGCACACCGTAACTCATAAATCGATTACTCTAGCTCATAAAAGACAAATTCTAAACAACAATGCACACACAGCTTTCAGGCACATACCGACTCACACACAGCATACAAACAAACGAAATAATATTAATACTAATATACCTATATTTAGGTTAAAAACCCAGAATAAATTAGAACCCAACAGTAAAAGAGTTATTATTATTGAAAGTAATGATTTATCTAACGATTTATTTGATGGTTACCTAACACAATACAGAACCGAAAATCCAAGGAAAGTTTTAATCGATGATTTAAAAAAGTTGGAGGGCAATGATAACCTTGAAAAAAGATTTAGTAATATTGAAAGAATTTTAAAATCTAACGTTCAACCACCAAATTTTGATGTCCAGTATTCTCCCACTTCCAGACAGTTTATATCCCAAGTTGAAACTCCGCGTATTCAAGGACAGTATATCCTCACTTCTAAGCAGTTAAAAGATGCATCACTTATTCGAAGACAAATGCATCCTTACACCTCAAAACCTGTAACTCGATCTCATTCTACAAAGCACACTAAAGTAAATACTACACCAAAAATTAGATATTCCACATCACATTTCTTTACAAAAAAGTATTCGCATAAGACAAGTAAGCCGACTCCAAGACCATTGATGATTTTAACACTCTCCAGGAACAAACATTTAAATCGCTACAATACTGCTATACCAACAAAAGTTTCTACAAAGAACAACATCCCTGCTAGTGCCAGGAATAATGTTGAAATGGTTCCAAGCAGAGGTTATAATTTTATTATTTTATTTTGATACTTGTTATTTTCTATTTTACTTGTGTTAACTGTATTATTATTATTATGAATATTGTTATTTTTAGCTGATAAGTTAGAGCAAAAGTTAGATAAATTGACTCGCGAAATGGAAATATTGGAAAAACTTGAAAATGATTATAGAAATGCTAAAATGCGCGCTATTGAAACTACTACCATGGCTACAACAACTGCCACACCAACAACAATTACTACTACTGCTACTACTAAAACAGCAACAACAACAACAGCAACAACAAAAACATCAACAACAACAAAAAGTACAACAAAAATATTACCAACACAAAAAAAATCCACGGCTGGTAAGAAGCTACCAGTAACAACCCCTAAAAATAAGATAAATACTACTAAAAAACACAAACGAACGTGGCATACTTTACACCAAAAAACCATAAGTACAACATCAATACCGACTCATAAAACAAGAGAAAAACAATCACGCCATAAAACAACTTCTTCTCCTCGTCACACAAAGTTATTACGCCATAAAACAAATTCTTACTATATCAAACCAACACCATTTGGAAACGCCTATCAAATTGATGGGCAAGCATTAAAGTTTGAAAAAATGAAAACATCTTATGATGGAAACGATGAGGCGACCTTTATTCAAAAATTGAAAAATGACGGAGAAACAGCAAATGAACGAAATCTAGAAAGACCATATCCTATTAGTAAAAAGTTTATAAAGTTTCAAAATTTAAAAGAAACTTTATCACCAAATAACAATATTATATATGGGAATGAAAATTTTAAAACTACGAAGCCAAGCCACGCCAACCAAGTTACGCAAAAAGTTTCTGCAAAAAAAATTTCTGAGACGAATGATTACATTTCACGACATATGTTTAGTGAAAGTTTATCTCCTAAACTATTTGATAATCAGTCTGAAAAGTTTGAAAGTGCAGAAAATATTTTTCGATATGAGCTTAATACTAACTCAATGCCAGAAGATCTTAAAATGCCAGCTGAAGATAATATGGATACATTCAACGCAAATAATGACAGTCAAATACCGATTCTAGAAAAATCGAAAAACCAACCAAAGGTTGAAGCTGAAGATAAAAACTTGACAAATGACATTATCAGTGAAAATAATGATATAGTGATCATAGTAAATGAAGACGATGCAGGTCAAGAGTTAGGAGATGTTTATATTCAACCTCAAGAGCAAGTACTTCACGAAGATGACGCAGATTTTAAACCAACGTTAGGAGATTTTGTTATTCCCAAGTTTAACACCAAAAGGATCGAAAAAGACGTATTTAAATCAACATTGAAAGCTTCTAAGATTTTTGAAACTATAGTGTTAAGTCCGGAGAATCCTATTCCACCAGATAATGTTGTTTCTCTAGACAATAAAACAACACCGTTTATTTTTCCTACACAAAGATCTACTAAATCGATTCAGACTGATTATCCAGTCACAACAAGAGAGCCAGAAACAGATCGAGAAGGACCGTCTATTGTAGATATAACAGAAATAAAACTTCATCGACCCGGGGTAAATTTAGATAAAAAATCCAATGTTCCTAAAGAATTCATTCCGTCTAAGCTCTTTTTCAAGAATGTTCCAGAACATTCAGTCAATAAAACAGAAGTAAATTCATCACGCTCAACAAATTCATCAAGCTCAACCTTAAAACCCTTCAATAAAAAGAAACAAATACTGTTTAAAGAAACAAAGTCTTCAAACCTAAGCGTTAATTACAGCGGAAAAAAACATTTCAATATTCAAAACAAAAATAAGCAGCAGTACGGAAATGATTTAATAACCTCGATGTTATATCCTACAAATTCATTTATAGCAAACATGCAAGTTAATAGGCGTGTTTCTCAGGTTTCTGGAAGTAATCATTTTAAAAATACTTCAAAAAAAGATTTTATAGTTCAAGGTAAGTTTTATTATACTCATATTTTTAATTAAAATTTTAGAGAAATTTTAGAAATTTGTGTTGCCAAGCCAATAAGTTGCTTTTTTATATCGGCATTTTCAACGTCCGCGCATTTTTCAGCTGCTTTTTTTCTTTTTGAACGCATGAATTAAATGAAGCGTAACAAATTTTTACTGAATACTCAAACGCAGCGTCGCTCAAGCGTGTTATTGAAAAAAAAAAAGTGCTGTCAAAAATTACCTTGCTGATTTCAACGATACTATTTCTGCTTATCAATGCGTTGCCTTATTTTTATATTGCTTTAAATTTTAATTCGTGGAAAAAATTTGTTCCGTAATCACTTTCTTATTGTAATATTTAAGAAATTATTATTGTAAAAGTTAAGATTGGAATACAATTAAATTTTGCTTGTGTTTTGTTTGAATTGAAACCATTTTGTTTGCTGTAGTATCTTTGTTATGGTTTCTTAGCGGTAAGTTAATTTTCTCGGTAATCAATATATGATTATATAAATTTAAAAGGAGCTAGATGAAGGTTGCCGAAGCAAGACGAATCTTGTCTATTCCCAGGGTAGCATAACATTGTAAGAAACATTTATTGCGTCTTACACTGCTGTGCTACCCAGGGTAGCAAGCAATGTTCCCATGTATGAAAACACTATGTGTGGTGTTTTAACATATAATTTTATTTTTATTATTTAAGTAACTATAGTAACTATAAAACAAGTTTTAAAGCAAGTTGCATACCTATTACATATATGTTTAAGGTGCCGGAACAACACTTATTCATTATGGCTTTGAAAACTATCGATTAAACGAAATAAAAGACGATAGCGGAAATAATATAAACGCAATTTTGGTTGGTGGAGCACGTGTTACCAAGTCAGATTCAAAATGCGGAGCTGCTGTGGAGCTAAGCGGTGGAGAAATAGTTATTAGTAATGAAGGACTAGCTAATAAAGAACTTGAAGCGATAACAATAGCCATGTGGATAAAGCTAAGACGAGATGAAGAAAATCTTTCATTGTTTAGTGTTGATCAAGGACCTGATAATCAAGGGGCGTCTTTCTCTCTAGAAATTAAAGACGGTAAAGTCCATTGGAGTCATAACGATGAAAACGAAAACAATATATTCGATTTGTTAATAGTTCAACGATCTTCTATGCCATCTGGTCTATGGACACACATTGGCGTGACATACGATTCACATAACGGCTTAGCAAAACTTTATATTGATAGCCAATTAATTAAAACAGAAACTGGAGCTGGGCATATGTCGTCACAATTTGTTGGAAAATTTTCAGTAGGAAAAGGAGGTGCATTACCTGGGTTGGTTGATGAATTTTACTTATTTTCAAAAGCACTGGTTTTAAGTGATATAAGAGATATTTCAGAACTCTGTAACCTCGACGCAAGCTATCCTATTCCTATGGAAACAACTAACCCGACTTTAGACTCAATCGATAACCGTTTAGGCAATCGACATTCAAATATTGAGGTTAGTAATAGATTTTTATGCTTATTTTCTTAATTTTTAACTGCTACGTATAATTTTTAGTTGTTATGAATGTATTTTCATTTTTATAGATAAAAAACCAATGTACGCGTCAAGCCGTTTTTTTCAATACTGACATTAGCGGTGGTAAAACAGCTGGGGTATTTGTTTATGATGGAGATACAAGTTCTATCGAGGAATGTATTCAAAAATGCTGTGACTCATCTAAATGTCACTTAGCATATCTGGAAAAAAATAGATGTTATAATATAATTTGTCATTTTCCCGCTTTATGTCAGCCAGTAAAAGCTGGTAAAGCGCTTGTTACGTTGGGGTATGTCGTTCGAAACGGAAACTCAGTTTATGAGCCAGGTAAGAAAAACATTTTAAAACTATTAAATTTATTCCAAAAGAACTATCAATAAATATGTGCATTTTAAATTTTAATGCTTTATTCTGCAGATGATACACCAACATTGAAACCAAAGCCGAGTGAGTCATCTTTTACTCGAGTTACATTTCAACCCGTTATTCACCAAAAGTGTTTACAAAGTATGGTATACTATGGCGTAGCTTTGCGTGGTGGCTGGACTTCAGGAAAATTTACAGATATGGGTATAGTTCCGAGTCTTCAAAAGTGCGTACAGTTATGTTGCAATGATAGCACGTGTGACCTTGCAATGCTAATTAGTCAAAAATGCTTTACTATTCATTGCTATTCACCTGAAGATTGTCAAACAGTTCCTAACGGGCATGCTCAAATTGCCTATGTTACTAGAGAAGGCTATGCGCCAATCGGTAAGTTTTACTATTTAGTCAATAAAAATGCAAAACGTTTTAATAAATACATATATAAAAAAATGGCTAGTAATAAACAAAATTATTTATAATAATTTTGTATTTAGTTCCCACTAAACCACCAACTCCTCATTCTGGGCATAAACATTCACATAAAACCACCTCGTCTCCGTCATACCGACCTGGTGTGACATTTTCACCAACAATAAGCCGCAAACGTTCAGACATGTCGCTTCATTTAACATTTGATCACATGGATGAAGATGAAGTTCTCGATGAGTCAGGTTACAACAATAACGGTCAGATGAGCAACGGTGAGTCATCCTGTGAAAATACTGTTTAATTTAAATCTATATTTATTGCAATATTGTTTTCTATTCCTAGACGATTTCGATCTTTCGTAACTTTTGTATACTTTTATACATTTTCCATTCTTTTAAAAGGACGTAATTATGCATATTTTAAAACTTTTCTTTTTGTGCAGGAACTAATATCTCGCCAGGAGGTGGTATTAGAGGAAATGGTGTGATGTTCCAAGGTGGCGTTCTTTTGTTAGATGGGGGAAGATTTAATCCGAAACCTATAAATGCAATTACTATTTGTTTATGGATCAAGCTTAGAGATGTTATAGGAAGACGCACGCTTTTCGAAGCATTAAGTAGTTTAGCGCAACCTGGAGTATATGCTGGAATATTCCTAGAAGTAATCGATGGGCGAATACGTTGGTCAAGTAACAATGAAAATAATCTTCCAATATTCAGCGTAGAATCTCCTAACGTGATACAAAAAGACATTTGGTTTTTCATAGCTGCGACATATGATAGCGAAAGTGGAGAAGCAAAGATATTTGTTGATGGAAGTTTACAGTCAGTAAGCGTTGGGCGTGGTATCCTGATACAAGATTGGGCATCTAAAGCAGGGTTTGGAGCCCATCAACAAGGCAGATCCCTTCACGGATTTATGGATGATATTTATATATTTACTAGCGCTTTATATAGAGACGAAATAGTAAGTTATGTAAAAAATTTTAAAGAAAAGCATGATATAAAACCAGCTCCTTTATTGACGTCTACTTCATTTACGACTACACAAACAACTTCTACAACAACGTCACCTAAAATAAAAACAACTAAGCGACCAAAAACAACTTCTTTGCGTAAAACTCCTAAAGTATTTAGACCTACAAAATCTTTGTTTAAAGTAACAACACACAAGACTACACCTCATACTGTTAGAACAACACACCATACCGCAACAGGTGCTCCTTCTTTAAGAGCAAAAAACAAAACGACGCCAAAAAAATTGCAAACATCCTCTAAGAAATCAACAACATCAACAACAACAAAAAAAACTCAAACTACGACAGTCGCAACAACTAAAACTACGACGCCAACAGTAACAACTACGACGCCAACAGTATCAACTACGACGCCAACAGTAACAACTACAGAGCTTTCGTATACTAATATTCCAACTGTTAATCCTGCAATTTGTAAATACGGTAATACATATAGGTATACCGACTTAAAGGGAGGATTAGTAGCTGGAAACTTTTTGGACCGCGGGTTAACTAGTGGTATTCTACCTTGTATGGAGCTATGTTGTTCGCATCGAACCTGTGATCTTGCTTATATGATTTCTGGAAGGTGCTACTTAGTAGAGTGCTATACTGAGGATTTATGTTCAATTGTGCCTAAAGGAATAGGGATTATTTCACCAACAATTGGGCTAGTTGTACGCCCTAATGGTCCTAAAAGTGAGTTTTTTTATTTTAAAAACCTTTTTATTATAGAAAATATTTAGAGTCTTTTCAACTAAGAATATAGATACTACATCTTAACATATTATAATGATCTTAATAAAAATATATTTTTTGGTAAATAGTTTAAAAAAACCCCGATAACATCATTAAGTTTAATACTGTCACTATTTTCTTAAAAATATCTTGTTTACATTATTAGTTCCAGAATTAAGCGATCTGCTGGGAAGTTTACCGAAAATTCAGCCGACTTCAAAAGAAGTAAGCCCAACTAATCTGATGACAGATATTAACGAGTTGGAATTAGAACTAGGAAACGGACCAAACGGAAAGTTGCACAAATGCGTATTTAAAAAGACTTTGGTTCATACCACTTTTGTTGGAGGTTTAAGAGCAGGAAATTTTTCGAACAAAGGAAGAGTTACTTCAATGAAAACATGTCAAGATATTTGTTGCAGCGATTTAAAATGCGATGTTGCAGTAATGATGAAACAATCATGTTTCTTAGTTGCTTGCAACAACATGGAGTTATGTCAACCACGCCAAGCAAAGTTGGAGAGATTTAGTTTACTTCTATCTTACCGAGATAGGTCTGCGGAGAAAGAAGGTATGTTAAGATATGTTTTTATTTTTTAAAGATGTTTTTCAATGTTTAAAGCAAAATGTTAAATTACGTGTTTTTTTTTTTTTAAGATATAGATATGTCTAGCCTAATGGATAAACCATATATCGCTTTAACTGAAACAACAACAACAACTACTACAAATAAACCTACAACAGAGTTATTTAAACCAAGACTATCAAACGAGACTTCAGATATGCCTGAAGCTTTAAAACCAGATAGCGAGGTTAAATCTTGGTGTGCAACATCATTTATACTTCCTGGAATGTTTTTAAATGATATTTCAAAGACTATAGTTTATAAAAATTTAGGAATAGTTTCTGATATTAAGATTTGCATGAACTATTGTTGTAATTTGTTAGATTGCACTGTTGCTTATGTGGATGAAAATATGCATTGTTATGCGGTAAGATGTTTTAACCCGAGTTTTTGTAAACCAGCTATTGGTTCTGCAAGCAACAAAATTGGTTTTGTAGTTAGAAACGGATGGTCGTTATTTAGAAATGAAAAGGAGGTCATTGCAGACAGTGATCTACATAACACTGAATTAAAAAATGTTTCAATGCCAAATGGTAATGATGACATTACAGTTAGCACGATATTTGCTAATAACACTTTGCATTCAGCAGAATCAAAGGTAATAGAGTCTCTTACGAACAAGATTGGTTATTGTAAAGAAACAGAAATTTTAAAAGATCACCGCTTCATAATGGGAATGAAGGCGGGTATATTTACAGAACATGGCGAGGTTGAAAACTTCCCTTCTTGCCTTGTTTACTGCTGTAGTGATAAAACGTGCGACGTAGCGTACATGGTCGATAAGACTTGTTATAGTGTTAAATGTTTTACTAACAGTTCTTGCAATACTTTTTCGGTTCCAAACTTCTTCCTTAATCCAATCATGGCATTTGTATCAAGATCACCAAATAATGTAGAACTATTGCTTTCAGTGGCTGGTAATACTTCAGTGCCAACAGGTGGTCACCATTTTACCGTTAGTGTGCTTCCGGGATTAACTAAGCAAACTAATTTAAAGCTTAAACAAAGTAAGAAACACCACAAGCTTCAAAAAAGCACCCATAATCATCATGTTTTTCCTTTTAGAAAAGCTCAAAAAATGACAAAGCCTCTTAAACAAGTTAAACTTGTTTATAAAAGCAACAAACACGTTAAACCCGATGATAAGAATATTATTAGAAAACTTGTTCACGAAATGTTAGGTGAAACATCTTCAGGATCTGGAGAAAGCAATATTGGATTAGAGTCAGGAAACGGTTCAGGGTTGCATAAGCCAATAATTTACCATGAATATCAAATGCATAACAGAAAAAACAGTCATCACCATAAGAATCACAAGGCAGCTAAGAAAAAACTACATAAATTTCAATATAGAAAACACAAAAAACTTCGTAAAAAAGTCACAATGAGTTTTGCTAACTTACCATCATTAAATTTAACCGAGGATGTGAATGCTGATAAAAAATATTTCTTTCCGTTGGACAAAGTAGATATTCAAATAATTGAAGCTCTTAGTCCTGATAAAGGTGATTTTTATGAATTACTTTCATTATTAAAAATTTGTTTTTTTCTCATTTTCTCTGTTTAGAAAAAATCGTAGTGATGCATTTTAGTTAATAAAAATAAAAATAACATAACTGTTTTTTGTTTTTTTACACAAAGTTATTTTATATATCATTTTGTAACTTTCCAGATTTCACAAGATGTGACGCTATTAAATACGGTTGTGAGCATTTTTGCATCAGTCTTATCCACGGAGGCTCAAGATGTATGTGTAATATTGGGTATAAGCTCGCGCTCGACGGTAAACATTGTCTCTATGAAGGAGTATGTGAAGCTCGTGCACATGGGTGTCAGCAAGAATGCAAATTTACTGAAGATGGATATGAATGTTTCTGTCGTAGCGGTTTTTTGATGAAAAAACTGCTTGAAAATGAGTGTCAAGGTATAAACGAATTATTATTGGTTATAAGACAAATTGTGTCTTCCCCTTTCCCGACTATCTATATTTATATTGAAATGTTAATTGTATTTATATGTTTATGCGGCATAACATAAATAAAAAAAAAAATTTTTTTTAGTATTATATTTTTGGGATTTTAATGATTATATTTAGCGTGACATTATAAATATTTAAATTAGATATGGACGAATGTACGATGGGTATACATGGTTGCAGTGATATTTGTGTAAACACAGTTGGTTCATATCTTTGCCAATGTCGTGATGACTATACGTTAAGCGATGACGGTATGACATGTGAGAAACAAAATGGTGAGCTTTTTTTTTTTTTTTAAACTAATTTAATGGTACTGTTTGTTGTTATCATTTTGACTTTTGGTACAAAAGTAAATGTTTTTTTTACAATTTAGAATCGAGGAAAAGCAAGATAGCACGTCCAAACGACACGTTTACAAGTTAGTTTTAGTTAGATTTGAATGCAATTATGATATACTTATTTTTTTAAATAATAATATATTTAACACGGTTATATAATACATACAAAATATATTTAAATTTTCCTTTAAAAAAATCCTTATTTTTAATTAGTTCCTGCAATGATAGAATCCAAAAGAAAGGATTTAATCTACGTCACACAAGGTCACAGTGTAGTTCTTGAATGCAAATCGTATGGTTATCCAACGCCGATCATAGTTTGGACTTTTCTTAATAATCGAACAAACATTATAAAGAGTGACGAGCGGCATAAAATAGTTTCGGGAGGAGCACTTGTTATCCAGGATGCATCTATATACGATACTGGCAAGAAATATATATATATATATTTTAAATATTTTATTAGATGTCAGAATATTTTATTAGGGTGTTATAAATTTTTATTAGGGTGTTATAAATTTTTTTAGAAGAACTTAAATGTGTTAAAAATTATTTATTTATTTATTATTGCTTTTAAAACACTAGGTATTTATCTTTGCATTTCTTCCAATATTGCTGGTACTGATTCAGCCACGTATAGTTTAAACGTAACTGATTTAAACGAATGCGAATTGCACCTCCATAAATGTGATCATATTTGTCACAACACTCCAGAAAGTTATTACTGCTCATGTTATAATGGTTACTCGTTATCCTACGATCAAACAAGCTGCGTAGGTAAGTGATAAAGTTATGCAATTTGTTAAAATTATTTTTCATTATATTATGAACTACTAGCTTTTACTTTTTAAATACATTGCTTTTATCAAAATACAATTAAATTTAGATCGCAATGAGTGCACTATCGATGGTGTATGTCAACACAATTGCCTGAACACTGTCGGCAGTTATCAATGCGATTGTTTTCATGGTTATTTTCTAGCAGCAGATACTAAAAGCTGTTTAGGTAAAATAACGATTTATGCAATGATTAATACTTAATAATATTGCCTGAATTTTCATATATTACGAACTCAATGTTAATAACATAGTTAGCATTATTAGCATCAGGAAAATAATAAATGATTAAAATTACGTAATTATCAACAGAAAAAGTGATATCACAGATAATGTGTTGATATTTTAACAACCTACTTTTTTATATAAATACATCGAATTCCAAAAAGAATCCGATGTATTGTTTAACAATTACAAAATGTGGTTTAGCTGGGTGAAATTAGCTAGTTGCGATAAAGCTTTTGGTTGCAAATAATGAAGCAGCTAATGACATTCTCCTAACCTTAAGTCAAATTTTCAATTTTTTCCATCTCAATTTTTTTCTTGTGAAATAAGCTTAATCGTTTTTTGTTGGGTAATAACACTGGCTAACAAATGCTTATATTTTTGTATCAATAACTTTGTTTAAATTATGCATATGGGCTGAGACAAAATCACAACAGAAATATTTTATTAGTTTATTAGAAATATTTTGTAGTCCAGCAAAAATTCCCTTTTTAACTTTTGCAGTACTTGTTTTTAAATATTTGCTCTTAAATACCTAAAACCCTGTGCATTTTTGTTTATACCTTTCACAAAATTTTTTAATAAACTCAACCTAATATGTAAAGGTGGAAAAAGAGCATTATTTGTACCGACGAGTGCTTCAGTAATAACATTTTTTTCATTTCTGTTTACATTTCTTGAAGGCCAGTATTTAATGTAAGTGAACTTCTGTCTCTACTGTCTACTGTATTGTTTTATATCCATTTGTAGACTTGATTGTGCTATATAGCTCAAAATAGTGCTTTTCTACTGTATTGAAACCTAAGTTATAATTAAAAAAAATTGCGGAGAAAAGAAACAAAAACAAAACAAAAATCTTTTTATATGCCGTCTCCTAAATTGTTTATTCTCGAACAAGATCACTTAATTCTGCTTGACTCATTCTGTGTGGTGTATTATTTGTTAACACAAAATCAGGATCATTTGATGTGGAAGGCTTGTTTTCTTCTATTTCTATTTTCTGCTTCTTACTCATAATTTTTGGTGTTTCTACTTAATGGCCAAGTTTATATTTACTAGTCAACTATCCCAATGTGTAATAAGTCTAATTGCAGAAGATTCGGATATCTGATTGTTTCTTTTTTCTTTATTGACAAATCTGTCTTAATGGGTGGGGATAAGCAGAAATAACTATCATCTGTATGGTTTTTAGGCTCTCCCTATACCATAGAAACCGCAAATGTCAAAAATCTTATATTTATTTTTCAACCATTCTCGTAATTTAACCGAACAAGAGTTACATCATATATGTAGAGCTTATGACCTATCCTGGTCCTCTTCGCTTTATACCACAGTAATACTGGTAAGCAGTCTTTGCGTGAGATGGCATGGTTCTTTACTGTGATGAAAAGTTACTTCAACACAAATGTAACAAAAATTGTCTACTAAATTTACGCACCATGGGATGATGATTTATCATGTTTTACACTAGTAAATTAAAAAAAAAACTAAGGCCAGAAAGTTTAGCCGACACACATAACTCATATCACAAGTTTTAAACATGAATAAAACGTGGATAAGGTAAGGGTACCAGTAATTAATCGTTTAAGAAAAAAAATTCCGTATGACTGTCGTATCTTTAAGATTGTTTACCAAATACATAGTCTTAATAGTTCTAACAACTTACCATACTATCTTCTAGCATCAATACTTTACAAAGAACACAGTTTAGTTTTATAGCGGATTTTCATTTATATTTGTTTTCTTACATATACAAGCTTATTTTACCAATTAGAAGAAATCCCACCATTAACATTGGTGACTATATCCAAGCCATCAGTCACTTTTCAGTTTTTACCCACATTTACAATTTTCAGTTTTTACCCTGAAAACTGCTTCTTTCATAGTCTTCAATTACATTTAAAGTGGTCCTTTTTCAGAATAATTGTATCTTCATCGGAAAAGTCTTTATACCAGTCAGAATCTTCACAAACGTTAAGCCGAAGAACGGAAATTGACGAGTCTGATTCTTCATAAAGTTTCTTGATTTTTTGCTTACTTTTCTTTTCCATATTCTCTTATTTCTTTCTTTCCTTCTCAGCTTCTCTTTCTTGTTAAAAAAAGTATGAAAAATGGTGGTCATTAAAAATAATAAACGTATTTTTACGTTTAAATAAATCATTAGAAACATGAAACGTGCGTATTAAGATGATTTGTAATTGTAATTTTAACCACCCTGGTCAATTACTAATATTTCTGATCCATTATTTGACACTCCCCTCATAACTGACTACAGATGGATAGTAAACAAACAATAAATAATTATTAATTAATATCAAATATATTTAATTCGAAATATAATCATCTAATATTAAAATAAAAGGTCCTATATTTTTAAATTAACCTTATTTGCGACGTTTCTTTAGTGAGTTGTGGAAGAATTAAAAAATTAAAAAAAGCATAGCACATTTACATTCAGCCACTTTGCATTCAAAGCTGCCAGGTGTATGCAGCGTTTATAGCCAAATAATAAGAGAGTAGTTTTCCATGTATTAAAAATGATTCTACCAGATTAGGGTTTATTTTAACAATTTTTCTTCTAAAAGGCAGCTACTGGCACATGGTCAATTACTGATACATTGGTCAATAATAAAAATATTTTTTTTTCAAAATATGAAAATTTAAACGCTTAAGAAAACATTTTAATATGCTTATATGTAAATTTTATTTTCATTTTTGAATTCAGCAAGTGAAAATACCTAAGAAATAACTAATTTTGTTTCCGAAACAAAATCATTTTTGCCTTGTAAAATTATTTGACACATTTATTATAAAATTCACGTAATATAAAAAGTGCGACGTATTTTACATTGGTACTTTTTGCTGAAGTATTTACGTACTCCAGCACTAAAACTAATGTAATGTCAATATTGTATAAGTTAGATAAGTGTTTAATAATAATGAGAGTTATACCAAGAAGAGTAGCTAAACGTTGAATATCTTTCTTATCTTGCCCTATCAACTATTAGCCAAACAACTTACCATTCTTTAGAAACATTTCAACATAAATGCGAAAAAAAAAAGATTTTTTTTAACAATAAAGAAAATTTTCTTTTTAAGATTTGAACGAATGTTTGAGCGCTCAAGATAACAACTGCTCACAAATATGCAATAATACGATTGGCGGGTACAGATGCAGTTGCTTACCTGGATTCCATTTATCATCTCACGACAACAAAACATGTGAAAGTAAGATGTCTAATAAAAATAATATAACTTAAAATTTTATTATTTGTTTTCATAAAACATTAATTTATTATTAATACTTAAAACACAAATTTACTACTTTAAGTTAACAGTCTTGTTTCGTCTAGAAACTACCTTACATCATCAGAGACATACTAAATTATCGCTAAAACAATTCCTTAATGGTTCATATGGTTATATAATGTTGACATCATTTACATTGATATGTGTCGGAATATTATGTGGCACTATTGTTTACTTGGTTCATCATTACAGAAAACAAAATAAAATCCGTGATGAAAATTGTGGTCATGAAGTTCCACCAGTAAGTCAAAGCTAGCTTTTAGAATCCAGTGTTGTTATTTTTCTTACTTTTATTTAAAAAAGTTTAAAATTCTATAGTTTTTTTAAGGTTAATTCTTCTTTAGATTAACACACGAAGTTCAGCTATTTTTTCATGGAACAACTAAAAAATCTTATTACTCTAAAATAAAAATATCACAAGAACATATTGAGAACAGATTTTGTAATTTAACATTATTATTTTGTAATTAAGCATTAATAATTTTTTATAATCCAGCTATAATAACTTTTTGTATATATTTTCTTGTATATAAACTTTCTCTCTTGTACCTGTAATTATACCTGTAATATATATGTAATTTATAACTTATTTATAAAAATGAATACACTTTAGTAAATAAAAAATAAAGATGTTAAAATCAAAAATAAAACCATACAATTTTATTTATATACATGACACACACACACACACACACTATTTACACCGATAAAGTTGGTAGTTTGTACTCGTTGAAATTTTGACAGTTGATCCGCCTGAAATAAAAAGGATAAAAATGTTTAAAAATAAAATAGATTAAAGATTTTATTAAAAAGAAGCAAACTAAATCTAAAATTTATTAAAGCTATATAAAGCGTGTACACGGAGTAAGTGTGAGAGTAGAAAAACAACTAAATAAAGGTACTCATCAACTTTTATTTAGAACTAAATATTAATTTTAATACAATAATAAAAGAAAAAAAAATATTTCAAAAAAATTAATTTGTTCCTGTGGGCATCTAATAAAATTTCGAACTTATGTTTTGGTGATACCCATAAGTTTGCACACAGAACAACAATCAAAACTATTTTATACTTTTTAAATAAAATTTTCAAACCTTTAACGTTTCTGCGCTGGGGCCGTCCATAAAGTTCGTAAAGCGTACAAGGGGGGGGGGGGGGGGGGTATTAAAGACAGTGAGTACGTACGCGGTCTCTCCTAAACATGATTTTATTTTTTTTAAAAACATTGAATTTCACGTGTGTAACAAATTGTTTTTTTTTCTGACTTCAGTCACAATTTTTTTTTATTTCGTTATAAGTAATGAGAGAAAAAAAAAAATAGAGTTAATTTGAAAAAAAAATAATGCGTACGTACGAGGAGGAAGCGTACAGGTTCGTACAAGGGGGGAGGGGTTGGTCCTAAATCAGTGGTTTTACTGCGTACGTAATATATGGATGCCCCCATAGCTTTTTTTAAATTTATTTTTCAATTATTACTTCCCCATTAGTTTGCAATAATTTTCAATTCTGGGCAGTTAGGAGGATTTGCTACTTTAGACATAACTTTCGTGTCATTTTGTTTATACCATCCCATAGCCAGTTTGCTATAATGAGGTAATGAGATAAACGACGTTTTTGAAAACACTCTTTAACATGCATTTTACCAGAAAGCGTGGAATCAAAAATGTAGGCGCTGATTTTTTTTTCATACCTGCAAATAACTTGCCAAATCAAAACATATTTAGCAAACTCATCATGTTTTGTATATTGAAGTTTCTTATGTGCTTTTCCTCTGTGTTTGTGCATTATTTGCCTGTATTTGTGCAGCACCAGGAATTTGCTGATGATCGTTCTTTATATAAGTTTTATCATCTTTAAAAATTTAGAAATTTTTTAGAAATATACTTTTCATAATAATTTCTTCAGAACGGCTAGGCACTTTTGTGATTTAAAGGCTTGAAAAACATGTTTATTTCGAACTTTTACGACCAAACTATAAGAGAATTCTTATATTTTTGCGCGTTCTGCGGATTATTTATAAAACTGTTACCAGATTTGCATTTAATCGATTTTGTCTAGGAAAAATGTTAAATAACATGACTAACGGTGTAGGGATTTATTTGCAACTTTGTTGCTATATTGAATTGTAGCTTCTATTCGGATGTTCCAAACATTTGTGCAAAACATTTTTTCTTACGTCTTCTTCTTTTGTCATTTTTAAAAGTTAAATGGGAAACTAAAACATTTTTTTGAAATTGTTATATGTTGCCAACAAAATACAAACAAAATTAAATATATATTAATACAATCACTGAAAAAAATGATGTGTTTATTCTTCCACATTTATTTCGTGAACACGCTTTATATTATAACTCGGTCCAATAATTTCGACTGGAACTCTTTATAAGCCGGCTGTTTGTACGCAGTTTTTATACAAAAAACAGATAAAGTTTCAGCCGTAAGTGCCTTAGGCAACTAATTATTAATTTGTTGATTAAATGTACACTTTTAAGCGGAAAGAGACCAAGTATCTGTATGGTTTTGAGAAACTTCTTTTCTTTTTGTTTATTACAGTATACTGGATACAGCATTTCCCTTTTTTTATGGCCTCTTCACGGTTAATTCTCTTCAAGATAGCGCTAATAACTCAATTTAGTTAAAAATGGCGCTTGGTTCCTTTCCGTTTAAAGACGTCCAAATGTAGTGACGCGGTTTAACTTATTTCTACTCAAAATATCTTACTTATAGACAAAATGTCGTTGGATATGGAGAGTCTTATTTAGTTTTGAGAAACAGGTAGTTTCAAAACATATTTTCAAAGGTGATTAGAAAACAAATATACGTTGTTAAAATTATCGCATACTAATGTTCCTTCGACAACGTTAATATCAGTAAATATTCTTTACTTTTTCTATTTCATGTTTTATCATGGATTGAGGTCAAAACAGGCATTAAACATATAATTAAAAAAGATTTTAAACGAAACAGAACAGGATTCAATATTAATAACAAAAAAACATTTCAGCAGGAAAACCGCTTAAATGCTTAAAAGCATATTAAATACTATTGAAATTAAGATAAAGCTGTTAAAAAATGCGCTTTTGATCGCAAGCTGCACTAGAATTGAATGACTTTGTTCGTATTCTGTAAAAAACTTAAACCCATCCTTCTATTAAGACCCCTCAGTTTATTTGATCTGGATCTAACAATAACAAGAAGAAAAAAAGTTTCTTTTTCTTTCATAACAATTTTTTTAAGCAAAATCTAAGAGCTCTTATAGAATCTTATTGGTTATAGCACGCCACATAAAAAGATTAACAATTAATGAGTTCGTTCTCCATTATCGACCTAACCGACAACGCTTATGTGCTTCTAGCGAAGTTCATACTCGTAACCCTTAGATTACTAGTCAAGCGTTCTAGCCACTGCAACAAGACTTAAAATTCATCGACCAAATATTTTGTTTACAATCAACAATATGCTAAACAGCATTTTTATACGTACTTTTTAAAACATTCAATTTACCATTAACTTTAAACAAATATTGTCAGTGAATTAACAAATTTTTTTTATTTAAGACCGTATAGTGTTTTACATAGATCGTCCTAGTCATATTTTAAAAATTGTTTGAATAAAATATCCGGAAAAAATCCGGAATTTGTTTTCCTTTATTTTCTTTTTAATTTTGCTTTCAGCTAAGTTGTTTTAATTTTTTTTTCACATTTTTTATAATTTTTGCACGAGTGTTGAGTAAAAGAGCTTAAAAAACAAATATATTATAAAAATATATACCTCAACATGCATGTATTAAAAATGTTTTGGATATCTGGAAAAACTAAAAGTTAAACAAAATATCCGGAATTCCGGAAATGTCCGGAAAAAGATAATCCCTGGTTTTATCAATCACCAAAGTACCACGTAATACTTGTGTTTGCTCTATTCACAAAAATATGCCACTTATTTTCATGAAAATACGCGTAACGTCATAGCCATATAATTAGCCTGGAAACGCGGGCCGATTTCTTATAACACTTAAACTCCTCTCTATATTAGTGCTCTGCCTACTTTAGAGTGCATCAAATTTTACACGGTTGTGTCTAGATCATATCCCACTCACAACGATTTTGACTTTTGAATAAATAAAGGTAATACACTTTACTGCGTCTATCTCTAAATCGACTGATTTAGAGATAGACGCAGTAGAGTGTACATAAAACGACTGATTTAGGGATAGGCGCAGTGAAGTGAACACACATCGACTAAGATTTTGGTTCGGAGAAACAGTATTTTAGTCCATTATTTCATTGTTCGGCAAAGTACTAATATCATAAAATTATTGCGAGTGGAATATGAACTAGACAAAACCATTGTAAACATTATATTACGCTACAGTTAAGTTGCATATATTCTGAGATAAATATTGAAAAGCCAGGAGCAAATTGTGCTTGTTTTGGCTACTCAGTTTCTATTTTAACTATTTTGGATTGCATATATATTTCATATTACAAATAAAAATGATAAATATAGCATAAAATAAAGACATCAACAGTTAATAAATGTAATTACGTGACAGATCTTGTAATGGTTTAAATATGCTAAATGAAAATATGTTATAGATGCAAACATTTGATTGACTGTATAGCTAGATGTCTATGAGTTTAATGCTTATTATTTTATAATTAAGCTAGTAGCTTGAGATTTTTTTTGCATCAATTAATTTGACTCAACCGCTTTCCAACCATATGTAGAATGTAGTAAGCTTTATATGGCTTCACTTATGTATTACTCATGTCTTAAGACTATTATTAATAAAAAGACTTGCCGCGGAAACGTTTTTTCAAAAGTAGTTATTGAAAGTAAGAATACCTAAGCACTGAAACACATCTAATTTGTAAGAAACTTTCCATATTTATTAAAAAAGGTAGGAGTCTAATGGAATGTAGACTCTTAACATTCATTATTAATTTTTTAGTTTTCAGCGTTTACAAACTTCAAGGTTAATTTATATAGAAAAAACAGTGTTTTTTGAAAGAGTCCATGTGGAAATGGCAATAACAGCCTTTCCTCAATTTAAAACAAGTATTTATATATGTTTCCTTGAAGGTTTGGTACTTAGGATTTGCATATAGAAATTATAAATTATATAATCATACATTTTAACAATTTTTTTCATTTGCGCATTGTTTTTATTTATTTTTGCGATAGATTTTTTGTTTTTTTTTTATTTTATTTCGGTGCCATTACACAGCAAATTTTCCATACTTAAAGACAAGGGTTTTTTTTAAAAAAATAACCAGTTTTTCCAGCACAAAAAATGCAATAACTTAGGATCTACTTAGCTTCTTAAGCATTTTTAACTCTATACAATCATGTTATTCATATATAAACATGTTTACAAGAAAAAAATCCTGTGGAATGGCTAACTTAGCTCGATTAGTTAATAATTTATATATCAATCTTTACATTATTTTGGTAACTTTACTGCAACCAAGGAGATTTAAGTACATTTTTATAATTTTAGATTTAAAGTTTTAGTTTAAAAGCACTTATTCCTGGATCAAACTCTATAAAAAAGGTAGGAACTTCTACCTCAGAGTAGGATATGTGAGATACCCCTTAGTAAGGTATAACTTTCTACCTTAGGTAGAAAATTATACTTTAATTATTAAATAAATTACATTACTAACATTATTGAGTAAAAAACTTATTAAGTACTAAAAATTTATTTCAAAAAAAATTTAAGATTTTAATAAATTTGTATAAATACTTAAAA